ATTTTAAATATTACTAGTTGTTCCTTAAACAGGAGAATAAGAGCTTAGTTGATTATAAAAATTCAACCATAAACATTTGAACTTCTGATGATAAAAAAGACACAACAGCATAATAACCTACTAAAATATAATAAGTTTTGTTGTTTTGAAAAAAATATAAGTTGATAAGAAATCTAGCTCAGTAATAATCTCTTGAAAGCTCTAAAATGATTTCAACCATTTTCTACTAAAATTTATAATCTAACTCTCATCGCTCAATGTTTATAAAGTATTTTTAAATTTCAGGTAAAAGTAAACTTACTGAGTGACGGATTTTTGAGCCCAAACAAGCATGGCCTTTTTGGCACCAGTTCGAAACCTTCCTGACTCTAGTTCTTTCTTTTTTTTCTTTTGAGGACTGATACCTTTGGTGTCTGTGGCATTATTAAGGGCTGTAACTGCAGTAGCATGCAAAATTTCGTCATTTGCAATAGCTTGTTGACTTGCTAAGGCTTTCGTATTTTCTTCAATCTAAAGTAGCAATATATTTAGCATATGTGTAAAAATTTATTTTTTAATACCTGAAAATACAGAATTACTGTCCATATTAATCCTAAGACAATAGCGGGTTTACCATCAACTACGTCAGTTGCATTTATGTTGACCAAACGAATATTTTTGCTCTTTAAAAAGTCAATGGCTTTAGTTACATTGGTAACGTAGTGAATTCTTTGCATTCTTCGACCCTGTTCGAAATTGATACGCTCACCGGACAATACTTGAAGCAATTTACATAATCCAACTCCATCTTTCAAGTCATGGAAGAGGTCCGAAATCTGCATAGGCGGTTGGCATTTTGTAAGAAATGCATTTACCCAATTGGTGAATGTCTTCTTTTGAACACGTTCTTGCTCATCTATGAAAATCAAAATAAATTTTAAAAATAGCTTTGAAAATAAGTAAAAAGTTTCTATTATTGATAAAGTATTATTGTTTCATAACAGTAAGGTGTACAAATATCGTAAAAGCATTTTTCAATTCTATAGCTTCAAATAAATAGACAAAACAAAAACTAGGTATTACACAAGAATGTTCAAAAAGTCAATTGATTAGAAAAAGAAGGCTTATAAAAGCCTCTCCCATTTAAAGCAAAGATATTAGATTTATCTCCGTGCACCAGCTATTTAAATTTTTCCCAACATCCAAACTTAAGAACCATATTACTATAATTCTTTCCCAAATTAAATTTTTAATATTAGCAGGAAAAGCAAAATTAAATATTTAGTAAACAATATTGTGGAAAATAAAAGCACAAACTACAACAGAAAGTGATTGTGCACAGTAAAACAATAAATTGTCCGCAAATATTGATTAGTGTACTCTAACGTCCGAGAAAGGTGAGAATATCTTTTAAGCATTTCCTCTTGCTTTTGTGAATTCTCTTAATAAACAAAATATACTTTTTGAGCTAGCTAATGATACTTCTAATGCTCCTTTAAAAAATCACTTCATTTAGAAGCAATTAACACACCATGTAAACTTCTGACGTGTTCAGAATATGGCCCTGGCTTCCTAGGATAGGGAGGATATGGCACTTTCCAAAAATTCATAGCTGTTAACCAGGTATATTATCCAAAAAAAAGATACACATTGCAGAACGGCGTTACTGAAACATCGTCTGCTTAACTATCAATACGTCATACTAGAGGCGTCTAGAGGGCGTTTTTAAGCAATAGAATGGATAAATATAGCTTGCTTCGACATGTTCAATTGAAAAGTAGATCGGACTACGTAATGCTTCAGATTATCATCAAAATCTGAACAATGTTAAATATTAAGTGATTAAGTAGCATAATTCCCTCTAAAACGTCATCTATTATTTTTTAAGAATAAATACCTAAAGCTTTTGTGGAATTTTTGCAAGCTACATGAGAAGTAACCTATGAAATCAAGATTTATATTCTTAAATAAAAGTTGAAAATTTAATTAATTCAAAAAAATCTCCACTAGACTTATTGAAAAATAAAGCAATTAAACTAAACTTATTAAAACTCTCTAAAAATGTCCGAAACATATGACCTGTTAGGCCGATTATTTCGTGTATATTTGTCTGACGCTAATTTTCAACTTTGCAAATATTATAGTAATCAAAATATATCTTGAAAACTTTAATAATTGTAAAAAAATTCAATAAATTATCGTTACATTTTTTTGTAAGCTAAACCTTTTAAATTTTCTTCCGTTTTTTTAACTTACCGGGGTCATAGTCTACATGAAGCCTACCAAGAGATCGGTAATACTTTCCGTATTTACAGACGATGTCAACCATAACCGATATATATCATATCCTTTGTGGGGATGATGAAACGCCCAAAACGACTAGATCAAATTGAATTCCGACCAGATTTATTACGTCGAACGTGCCTATATTTAAGGATAGTCCCACGCCAATCGGATCATTTGATATAACAGAGAAATTATTAAAATGAACTGTCTTATCTCATATGCCTTGATACAAGTATTAAGGAATCAATATCGTTCAATAAAATTTTGTTGACACGTTGATCAAACATGTAAGTTGCATGGTTGCCCTCAAGAACGACTGTACGCTTTGCCGAAAATATTTTATGTATTTGCTTTTTAATTTATATTCTCTTCAAAAAATACTTTTCTGTATTCCAAGATATACGAAAATATAGAAGGACAGATAAAATTTTATAAAAATTTCAAAATTTAACTCATATCGCATTTGTTATCAATATTTGATAAAAAAGATGTTGATTTTGGTTATTTTGAAGTGATTTCTACGTGTGTACTGAGAGATTTTTAACTTTACAATAGATGTCATCAACATATTAAATCAATCGCCATCTGGTACAAACTGATCACTACAAAGTAAATAAAACTCAAAAAAAAAATAATCTGAAAAAAGAACAGTAGAAAACCACAAAACTGATGCATCTTAAATCAGTTATTGTTTTAACAAATTAAATATTACAATTGAAAAATGTACGCTTTTCTAATACTATAGTGACCGAGAAGCTCATAATGGTAAAATATACTGTACAAATAATAACTAATTTGAAAACTTGAAATAGAATCCTCTCCACACTCGAATTTTACCTTAATGCGCTACTACTGTTTATATTGATCAGGTAATATAAGAAACCTTGTACGATTTAGAAAATTTTATCAATTGGATTCAATTAAATCTATCGTGAATGAACTGTTAAAACTCTATCGGAACTATTACCGCAACTTTTTAATCCTATCATCAATACAATAACAGATAATTTAACTATTTAGAAATTTGAGATTGTTTGATAAGTTCACTTAACACAATTTTGCGCCATACCAAAATTTCTTCGCCTTATTAGAGGCCACAAACACTGTTAAGGTTTTCGAAAACCAGCAAATATCTCGTTCAATTCCGAACAAAAAGAAAAATGCCGAAAAGTACGTTATAATGAGTGAACTGTGTGATTGTATTGATTTCGTTGAATAAAAAGATTATCAATTAGAGCAATTTTAAAAGCGTATAGCTATTGACTTTTTGTAAAGAATCTAATGAATTTTTTGATTACATTGTAAAATGATTACGACGAAATTCCATAAAAAACTTAGTATTTCTATATGTACAACTCTAGTTAACTGTTTTCATATCTGTGCAACAGCGCTTTGTAATAGTTTGGTTTAATATTTTTTATTTCTAAGTTAAGCAAATAAGTCTGATCCAATATTTTATGTTTTTGGCTCACAAAGTGACTAAAGGTTGTTTCTTGCTTAATTATAAGTTTACAGGCAAGAATTTTTAACTATCAATAAACAAGCATAGGCAATCTGACCTAAACAAGGGGCTCAAAAGAGCTTAAAGTCTATTTAGTGCACTCAGACGTTCAATGAGGTTAGCTCAAACAATCTTCCTAGTATGCGTAATCTATACGTCAAACTAAAAGAAAACAAAATTCTTTTGGATATTTAGCCCTACGCCTTCATTTAACAAAATTCCTATGAAAGACAACAACGAAAATCACCAATGCACGAAGTCTTATGTTGTGAACCGAACTAGATAAATCAGTTGCAATTAACTAACAATCAGCTATCTCTAACTTGATAACGATTTAAGTATTTAGCAGTCTGAGTAATCAGTACAATTCAAAAATAAATTTTTAAAAAATGATACAAACTTGCAAGATGCTGAATCGTTATCTGAATTTCTCCTCCCATAGATACATTTCCAATTTGATCACTACCAGCAGGGCTTGCGCGATTGTATGGGTAATCTTGCAAAGGGGTCGAGCCTCTGGAAGAGAGTCTTTGCGATGATGAGCGGTTTTCTTCCTTATCCATAATATCAAAATGTCATGCTGTAGAGGTAATCTTTTTTAGGAAAATCGTTATTGTCTGGAACGGTGTTCGAAATCTTTTAGCAGAAAATATAGCACATGACGTCTGACAGTCTAAAATGTATATTCCAATAATTTTTTTAATTGCGCCTAAAGTCAAGTTTCTATGACAGTTATCGTCTGAAGAGTTCCATTAATAGTATGAGTGACTTAAAAAAAAAAACATATTTCAAAGCCGTTGAATAGTTTTCGAAAACCGTCAAGTGTTCTAGAAACATGTCAAATATTCTTATGCAATCCAAATTATACACGTCAATTTTAATAAGGTCAAATGATTTTTTTCCAATTAGTTATAAGTGATTAAAACAGTATAAAGGCAGTAACAAAGCCTATACAAAGTAATATCAGACGGGTCGTAACGTGTTTGTCACAGAATAAAGTGAAGATTTCTGCGAATACCAACTCTTTTAAATAAATTGTTTGAAGAATATTGAACACTCCTATTAGGTTTATTATATAAATTTAAAAAATAACTAACCTCCAGCGAAATAATCCTTTAAATTCACTTTTTCGAAGTTTAAAATCGTGTGCTCTCGCGGTCTTCCCTACAAGTCTACTGCTTGTGCGCCATATTGAAGCCTCGGGTGAATCTAATAGATGGCCTATATCAACGCCATCTGTAGGTTATATTTTCGACCTTTATTAAAATCAATATGGCGACTACGGAAAACGAGGCGCCAAATCTTTCCTATTCAAATTCTGCGTCCAATCGCAAGGAATCTCAGGTGAAAGTGGTACTGGGTGCTCAATGGGGTGACGAAGGAAAAGGAAAAATTGTCGATTTGTTGTCAGAGGAAGTCGACGTGGTGTGTAGGTGCCAAGTAAGCGTCTTACCATGTGACAATGTCAACCAACGTCTGCTAATTCATATTTTTATAATATAGGGTGGTAATAACGCTGGCCATACTGTAGTGGTTGGCGAAAAGGAATACGATTTTCATCTTCTACCGAGCGGAGTTGGTCATGAGAACTGTAAGTCTCTTATAGGTATGATATTACATTCTGTAAGTTTATTTTATTCATAATCCTCTACGACAACTACAGGAAATGGCACGGTAATTCATTTGGAGGATTTATTCCATGAAATAGAGAAGAATGAAAGTAAAGGTCTTCGTAGGATTAGCAAAAATTTACTAATATCTGATAGAGCCCATATCGGTAAATTATATTAATGCTTTCTGAAATATATTTGTCTACATTTTGATAATTACCTTAATAATTTATCTAATTTTTTATTAATTTTATATTTTCAATGTTCTAGTTTTCGATTTGCATAAAATGGCCGATGCAAACCAAGAAGAAGTTCGTGGCAACAAAAGGTAGGTCAAGGTACTCAACCATATAGTTTAACAATCTTGTATAACTTTACAGCTTCGGAACTACAAAAAAAGGCATTGGTCCAACTTACTCCTCCAAGGTGAGAAAATAATTTAATCATACAGTGGTTTAAAATCTATTATCCTTGTCTTTAAAACTTTTCTCCTACAAGGCTACGAGAAATGGCATACGCATTGCGGATTTAGTGCACGAAAATTTCGAATTGTTTAGCGAAAAGTACGAGTTCAATAAGTACTGAATTTTACTTAGAATTTTTTTTTACAGGTATCGAAACTTGGTTGCTTATCAGACTGAACGATATAAAAAATTAAACGTTAATGTTGACGAGGATTTGAAAAAATACTTTAAGCTCAGAGAGAAATTGCGAGATATGGATATGGTAGTCGACTCTGTTTTGTGGTTAAACTCAAAAATTACTAATGGGTCGAGAATCTTAATAGAAGGTGCCAATGCAATTATGTTGGATATTGATTTCGGAACTTATCCAAACGTCTGTATAATATCTTTCTCTTGCGTTACGTATTTCATTACTTCACTTTTATAGGTAACTTCTTCTAATTGTTCCATTGGGGGTGTTTGTACTGGCCTTGGCATTCCCCCTCAAAGCATAGGGGAAGTTTACGGTGTTATTAAAGCTTATACTACCCGTGTTGGAACTGGACCTTTTCCTACTGAGCAAAATAACGAAATTGGAAACCGACTACAAACTGAGGGCAAAGAATTTGGAGTAACAACTGGAAGAAAACGACGTTGCGGCTGGTTGGATACTGTTCAACTACGTTATTCAACAATGGTGAATGGATTCACCCACGTTGCCATTACGAAGTTAGATATTTTGGATGGCTTTGATAAGCTAAGAGTGGGAAAGAGTTATAAACGAAACGGTAAAACGTTGAAATCTTTCCCCGCCTCTTGCGATGAGCTATCTGAAGTAGAAGTTGAATACGTAGATATTGAAGGATGGAAAGAAAAAACACAAGATGTAAAAAAATTTGAAGATTTGCCTGTCAACGCACAAAAATATATCTATTTAATCGAAGACTTAGTTGGCGTAAAGGGTAAATTACAACATATTTATTTTAAGATACAAATTTCTATACATTATTTATTTTTAGTCCGCTGGATCGGTGTGGGCCAGTCGAGATCATCAATAATAATACGTGATTGCCAATAACCTGCACCACAAATAATTCCTGCAGACGTCATGAATTCAATTTGCTGTGTTCCTCCTGCTGATGTTGATGAAGAGTCTGTCCAAAGCATTTTGAAATAAGATTCTAAAAATTCTTACCGAATAAAAGGCGTTTTGCATTCTGTATTTGAAAACGAATAGAAATTTGACAACGGCATTGTTTTCCATCGACGTTAACATAATTGGTTTATAGTATAACCAGTATTCACAATCGGTACATTGAACTACAATTTAAAGCTACGAAAAGTGTAACATGCATATGCATCTCATGGTAAAAGAAGCGTTCGTGCATTTTTCGAATGAAAACTGTTAAATGAGCTGCACAAGAAAATATTAGCTTTCTTACGTTATACAAAACCATGCGCCATGTGTTTCTTTAAAAAAATTAGTATCACAATTTTTACAACATGACATTATTTGGCAGTCGAAACGAAGACATTGCGCGCGTAGCCGAAAGGAACCACTTTAGCACCAGCAAGAACACACTCGTCTTCCATCTATTTACACTTTTCCAGCAGACCTTTCGACGAATCCGCACGGCAGATTGGACAGGTTCGATTCGTCTTAAAAAGAAAAATATTTAAAATATTTTCAAAATCAATTCTTTATAAATATCTACCTTCAACCATTTGTCAACGCACTTCGAGTGAAATTCGTGCTGGCAAGGAAGCACTCGAAGCACCTGTCGTGGTTCAAAATCGCACATGCATACCACACAGGATGATTGATCAACGCCTTCTTCACGATCAGTCGTTTCGAATCGGTAACTTTGCAATCGTTCAATATCTGATTTATGCAACCCTCTTGGTTTAGCATCACCTAAGCGTTCAGCCAAAGAAAGTAGGGCCTCATAGTTCTCGAGACCAACATCATTACTATCGATGTAATCTAGCGTTGTCGAACCTCTTGAGGAACCACCATTGCCCATCACAGCCCCAAGTAAATTAAGAAGATAATAAGGGGGATAGAGAGTACGTGTCGATAACGGTGGCGGTGGTTGACGACGCATGGGAAAGTTCCAACTATTCATAGATGCCCGACTATATGACTCAAAGTGATGGTCTGTCGGTGGAATATAGATGGGATGTAAAGGAGAATGAACATAAACATCTTCTCGGCGATTTCTTGGGGCAAAGTGGGCGGCAGGAGGAGTTGGGGTTTGTGCCATGGCGTGTCTCATCGACGTCATGTGCATAGCATGATGCATTGGATTTACATAGGCATCATTATACGGTGCCGCCGACCAGTGCCGAAAGTGACCGGCAGTCACGTAATGTGGCTGATGGTTATGGCTGCAACCATTATGTAATGAATGTGGCGCAGCTACGCTAGAGGAAGCGTTTCCAAAGGGCCCTAGGTCTTGAGGTGGAAAATGCTGATTTCCAAATTGTTGCTGATTTGATGCTGAATGTCGGTCAATAGGAGTTGCCTCTTGTTGACGGTTTCTTCTCGATATATGAACTCTTCGACTTGAAGCAGCTCCTCGGTTAGGGCTGAAAAAAGGATTTATATTTAAAATGTACAACATGTATACATATTGTGTAGATGCACACGCTTTAAATTTATTGCGCATATCGATTTCGCAGGGTAATTCAGTACTGTGAACAGTTGCTACCAGTCAGTAGACGCTATCAGCTTTATCGTATTCTTTTTATCCGTTTCAGCTTATCAGAAATTCTTTACCACTATAAATCACTTTTCATTAGCAAAAAGCCTGATAGATTTGGTTTTCTATCCAAATTTAACATCTCCTACATTAACAGCTGAAGGCTATTGAAAATGAAAAGAGATTTTTAACCTTGTTAAGTTTTGTTCGTTCGCTTTTAAGTAATTTTATAACAAACAGGCTGATGAAAGCAGGTAAACATTCTGGATATATGGAAAAAGTGCATGTGTGCAAGTGCACTGAACCGCTGTATAACGTACAGTCATTGCCTAATCAATACACTCAGCCTATACAGCCTTCACAGTACAAACACCGAGTAATTAGCACAGCAAAAGTAGGTTATGCATGGCGAATATTTTTCAAGTGGATATAAATAAAATACCTGTTATTAGTTTGTGTGCTAGAAGCGTTTGTTCGATTGAGAGCCGACGCTCTACGAGCGGGCTGTATCCTGCGGGACACTCTGGGCGCCCTCATTTCCGTTTCCGTAGGCGCTTCAGTTGGCGGTGTGGGCGTTTCAGTTTGGCGGGCAATATCCAGCACAACCTGCGACAATTTACGACGTTTACCGGCCGGAATGGCATCTTCCCTTCCGTTCGAGTTAGCCTGTCAAGAGAAGCCGTTAAAGTCGAATTATCTTGCCGACGCTCGTTAAATCATTTACCCTTCGCCTAGTGGTCACATTCTCTTCATATACATTCCAAAACGGGGACGGGGTGTTAGACGAGGAAGACACGTCTGCATAAAAATGTAAAAACTCGTAAAAGAATTCTTTGGTTCAGCACGGCGCGGGCATAAATTATGCAAATTATAAAGACAATTTATAACACCTGTTTAAAATGCACATTGCCCGACACACGCACAAAAGAACGTAGCGGTAGCAACGTGCATGCATACCTAAAATACGAACACAAAGCATGCATTGACGGGTTCTTACCTGAATGGAATGTAGAGGAGGTTGAACCAGAGTCTGCGGTTCGACGTCTTGCCGAAATCCTAAGTCTATCGCAAATCGTCGTGTTATTGGAAGTTGTAGCATTAAGAGAGGCACCAGCGGCGGGCGGCGATAAAGATGGGGCTGGACTGAGGTTGAGGACAGGTGGACTGTTAGTGCTGAAAAAGTCATAAGAACCGCCATCGGAATTCGTGCTTTCAACCATGGAGGTAACGGAATTTTCAGACGCCGCCGGAGATTTTGGTAGTAGAGATGCAAGTCGAGCAGCATCTTCTGCAGTTAATCGATTGTTCGAATTCACCCTCATGTCCTGTACAGTCAGACCCTATCAGTCATCGTTATTCATACTATTGATATATGCTATAAACTAATGCATCAAAAGTAAAAGTGAGTAGGCGATATAGAAGTGAATGGCGGTTGTACCTAAGGCAACCTTCGAACTCCCGCGACCTACTGTTTGAGTTCAAACGCTCGGTGAAAAGCGCGGGTTTTTGACAGCTTTCGATTGAAGCGCCGCCTATCGATCAATAAGAGGTAGTCGATGGCCATGAAACATTTAATGGACAAACTACGTATTACATCAAAGTAGTATTCAAAAATTCAAACATGTAATGTGTAAAATATAGGTGGAATACTAAAAAGGCATTAGTAGAAACCATATAAACGCTTTTGGTCCATGGTGGTTCGGAATGCCATGATGGTGATTAAAAGGAACGCGATCATTCCAAATGTTTTTTACTCTAAAAGCTTTAAAATTTACGATCGTTTTTTTGCTTAATCTACTCATCAATGTAATATTTGATGGATACAATAAGAAAGTACATTTGAAACAGTCAGAATATGTCCAAAACAAACCTTTACACCTAATATCTGCGACTCTGCGCCTACTCCTTCCAAATGCCAGAGATTCCCTTACTGCGGGAATTCCCCTATTGACGTCATGTAGTATTTTTCGTATCTTCGTACTTTTCAAATTTGCCGATATTAAATACTTTATACTATATCAGATCTTATTAAATCCCCGTTATGTTTATTTTTAAATTTTGAATTAATGTGATTTTTCGTACCGGAAGCTGTATTTTGTATAGGCCGGAATTTAAATCAGTTCACAATTTTCTAAGAATCGCTGGGTTATGTCTAAACGTAAAGGGCAAGTAGTTTTCAGTAGCGATAGTGATGACAGCGATTCCTTAGCTGGAAGTGATCAGGTGAAAACTTCACTTAAGCCTTAAGTGTAATCCACTAGGTTTCATCGTGGTTTTCAATATGACAGGAAAATACAAGCTCCAGAGATATCAAGAAAGTCAAAGTGGATGAGCCATCCTCTAGTTCTTCATCATCTTCTTCAGACTCTGATTCAGAACTTGAAGACGGGTCTTCTAACAAAGGCTCAGACCATGAAGAGGGTACAAAATACACCTATTATCGCAAACATGAGACTAAAGTTATTTCTTTATAGGTGAAGTTAGTTCATCCTCATCTGACTTTAATAGTGAATTTGATGATGGTTTTAATGAATCCTGTGTCGGAGATGAAAAAGATCAAGAATTTTTAAATTCTTTGAATCAAAGGGAAAGGGAGGCTGAAATTTATCGTCGTATGCAAGAACGCGAACGCTTGAAAACCCAGCATGAAATTAAAGTTAAATTGCGAAAAGCTAGGAAACAAGGAAGCATGAAAGAGAGGAAGGCGAAAAATGATTCCGCTTCTAGCTCACAAACCAAAAAACGATCTCGACCTACTCCAGCTGCAAAACAGACAGAGCGACAGTTAGGTTGATTGAATATTGATATCTATTAAAACGTTTCTTTAAACTATTTTTAATTTAAAGTGATTGAAGAGAAAAAAAGTGATAAATATTCAATATTCGACGATTTTAAGGCTACACGTCAAAAAAAACTTCAGCAAGGTAAATCTATAGCGACTCCAAGGGAGCTGAGAAAATAAACAGTTTTTTTTTAGACGCTCAAAGAGAAGAAAGGAAGAAAGCTCAGGAAAAAAAGCTACGTGTTTCAGATATTTATGAATCTGATGATGACTCTTCCGAAGAAGGAGAAGCATCAGATGATTCTACAAGAGACAAAGTTAAAGTACACAAATCATCTCCATATTTCACTCCAACCATAACGTCAAGTAGCGACTCAGGTTCTGATTCACATTCGGATGCAGAGAGCTTATCGCCAAGGAGGGATACCCCTAAATACATTCAAACACGGGCTGAATTGTCCAAAATCAGACTGTCTCGTCATAAAATGGAAAAGTGGTGTCATATGCCATTCTTCAAAGAAACTGTCATTGGATGTTTTGTTCGAATAGGTAAGGGATAAACAAAGGGATAAGCCGTTTATCTATGATATAATGATATTAGGCATAGGAAACCACAATGGAAGCACAGTCTATAGAATTGCTGAAGTTATCGATGTGGTTGAGACGGGTAAAATATACAACTTGGGGTCGACTCGCACAAACAAAGGCTTACGCTTAAAAAGTGCAGGTTCTGAGAGAGTTTACAGGTATAAAATCGCTATCGCTACATGCAAGATAATAACCTTCACTGAATCAACAGACTTGAATTTATATCGAACCAAGATTTCACTGATTCTGAATTTAATTTTTGGAAAAAACAAATGGATGAAAAATATAAAACATTTCCATCAACTGAACATGTTGAACTCAAAACTAAGCATATTAAAAGTGCACTTAATTATCAATTCGCAGAAAAAGATATAGATGTTATCCTGAAAGAAAAGGAACGTTTTAAAAAGACACCGCATAATTTTGCTCTTAAGAAAACTGAGCTTCTTAAGGAGAGAGATATCGCCATGGAAAATGATGATAGAGAAAAAGAATCAGAGGTATTTTTGCTTTCTCTTTTGTGATAAATATTAAAATTGATGTGTAAATAGATTAAAAGGCAGTTAGAGGAACTCGAAACTCGTGCTAAAGAGATTGATCGTTTAAGGACGAGTAACATTCGAAATGTTTCAACCATTAACCAACGAAACAGACAAGATAATGTCAAAAGAGCCGAAGATGCTTTCAAAGCTGAAACGGCTGAAAGGAAAAAGGCAAAAGCCGATCCGTTTACGCGTACTCGAGGCAAACCTACTCTTGTTACAAAATCGAAGAATCCAGAAATTGATGCGCAAATAAAACAACGCTATATGGATGCTTATAAACCAATTTCTACAGAAGACGTCGCAGCTGAATTTTCTATAAAACAAGGAAAGGATGGTCGGTCAAAGACCTCAGAAGATAAGGTATCAGTGTTCCGCTGTAGAATAAATATTTTGTTAAAGCAAAACTTATTTTCAGAATGATTCGTCCATGAATTTATACGACGCTCATAATTTTAATGTCAATATCAATATAGATCTCCCTCACGTTGGTAGGTGTTGACTTACAATTATCAAATTTTCAAGTCAGCTTTTTTTCTCATCGATAAGATATGGGTGTGAAATCAAATGCTAAGCAGCAAGGAAAGCCCAGCAGTCAGAAGAAATCGCTTAATTTAGAAGACTATAAAAGACGTCATGGTCAAAATTAAGTGTTATCTCTTAGTAAATCCTGTTTTGTAATATGACTGTGTAAAATACAAAAAGCTTATTCATAAAATATCGCTGTTTCGCAACTTATCAGTAGATGTCAGGACGAACGTGTATTGATTGCTTTTTATACTAGACTCAGACCTCTAGGCAACTTATTTCGTCTACACCAGCGGCCAGCTATAGCGAGTATAAATCAACGAAAATGGGAAGTAGTGATATCGAAATGCCGACTTCCGCCTTCTTTGTATGTGTATCAGTTGCCTTCGTAGGCGGAATCTACGTTGGATGGAGACTCAAGACTTGGAGAGTGAAGCACATGAAAAAGAAAGACTCTTAAATGTTACATAACCTGTAATTTTATACTTTGTCATCATGAATAAAATGTTGGCCAGTCTGAATTACTTGTTTTGATGTTTATTAGAATTTTGTTCAAAATCACAAATAATGAATCAGTTATGAACCTAGAAAATGTGGAAATAAACGAGACTAAATTTTGTATGTTCAGCATATAATCGTGTTCAGACAGAAAATAAATCAATAGATGGCGCCTCAACAATAAGAAACAGTTTATTTTATAATCGAAGCCGTAAAACAGTTTGACACAAGTCCACTGAAATTATATACACAATCAGAGGAATATTTCTAATAATTAGATAAAAAGAAACATAATATTGGCTTTCATAAAGTATATGCGGTATCCATTCGTTGTAAAAATATGTCACTTCATATACTGTACATCACACACTCTGCTACAAATACATACATCATATAGATTTTATTTTTTTATATTTTCTACAATAAAATTGAATTCCCCCATTGCTTTAAAACAAAAAAAATACAAATGTAAATATAAATATATATATATGTAATATAATATATATATACTGTAAATATATATATATAAATATATATATATATATATATTAGTATATATATACATATATATCATACTAGACAATTAATTCGTCGATAGCAACGAATTTTGACATTTATTATAAAAAAATCTACGCATTTGAATTTTATACACGTGATAGGATAATTATTTCTGTCAATGGGAATGTTTTAATTTCTCAATAAAATACGCTAACACGAACACGGATCCTTATTGCCAGAACTTTCACCACCAAGATTGGCTCCACGTGGTCCGTTCGAGGGTTTATGTTGCACACCACTTTCTGCTGCATTCAAGTCCAAGCTGCAAGCAGAATAAAAAGTAAAACACTTTTATACAATCAATATCCTAACAAACCTTCCATCTTGAATATTTTTATAAATCTTCTTCGCTGTATCCAAAAATGCATCTTCAACGTTTTCTCCACTGAGTGAAAACAAAGAAATAACGGGAATTATCTCATTTATATATTTACTTACGTTTTAGCGCTGCATTCTAAAAACATAAGACCGTTTTCTTCAGCAAACTGTTTTGCTTCGTCATATGTTACATCGCGCTGAGCGTCTAAATCAGATTTATTTCCAATCAAGAAAATGACTGTGTTTGGATTCGTTAGGTTCCTGGCGTCAGTAAGCCAACTAGATAAATGGTTATATGTTGTTCTCCTAAAAATAAGAGAATAAAGTTTAAAACAATTACTTTTTAATGGCTTTTAAACCTTGTAATATCATAAACCATCAATGCTCCGGCTGCTCCTCTGTAATAACTCCTTGTAACTGCACGAAATCTGTTTTTATGAAAATCTAGTGCAAAGATTCCTTTTAATTAAAGTAGATAATACAACAACCTTTCTTGGCCTGCAGTGTCCCAAATTTGCAGCTTAATCTTTTGTCCAGCTACTTCAATTATCCTCGTACCAAATTCCACACCAATTGTATGTGGACAATCGGCCATGACTATCATTATAAAAGTAGATGAAACTTTAGGAATCATCTAAAAGTGCTCAACTTACATTTCTTTTCGGTAAATTGATGGAGAAGACATGATTTTCCAACTCCCATATCTCCAATTATTATATATTTAAATATGTAAGAGTAATTATACGGTCCAGCAGCCATTTTTATAGATTTTACTGCCTAAAGAAAAAAGATTAATCGGTTAAATGGTTTTTTATTTATCAAAAACTGTTGTTTAAATATTAAATATACGATCATAAGGTACTATGAATATGGAACAACTAGTGGGCGTCTTCCCATACTAAATACTACAAAACTGCTATTTCTATTCTTTTAAATTTAAAAATTATTTATAAATAAAATCTAACTATTTTATCATTTCGATTAACTTAAAAGGAACACAACTGATTGAGCACAAAGAAAACTGATCGTGAATCATTTTTCACATTACACGTTGCAGAGGTTTAAAAAGAAGACAAGCAGTTACAAGGCTTAAACAATTGCTTCGTTACCTGATTATCCGAAGACGAAGTGTCACACAATGCACATTAAATGAATTAAGTTTCTTTAGAGGAATTTTTTATTTATTTACAAGAAATGATCTAGCAAGATGTCTGTAAAGATACCCAAAATTCAACTTCCGGATGGCCAAATCGTAAACAATACAATTAATATTAAAATTGACAAATTTCTATGAAAAAAGTAAAATTTTAAAATTATTAACCTCTGCAAACGACTCAACGGGGAATCTATAGACAGATATTGCTTTTATCGTATTTATATTTCGTAGTTTCAGACACGTTATTATATTTTACGATTCCCTAATAGTGACCTTAATTATGAAACACACATGCTGATTGGTTAAAAATGACGTCACTATGCCGTCTAGGTTGCGCATGCGCACTTTCAAACGAATTTAACGATAACGAAAACAAGCTGGACATTGACATTATGTGTTCATGTGTGCGTTTTTCTAATTAGTGTACAGATCTTAATTATCATAATACTGAAAAGAGCTAGTCTTATCCACGTAGCGACTGGACTTCAAAATAACCTAGGTAATATTTTAAGAACTTAAGGCGTTTTGATTTAAATTCTAAGGGCGAGCATGCTTTGACAGGAATTTCTTTTTCAGATCAGTACTGGAAAGTCTATTCATTGGTCAATCCTGTATATATTACTAACAAGTGAGAAAAATTTGACTATATAATATAAATTGTGTAATATTATGTAAAATATTTACTCTTTTATCAGCATTACTTTTATAGAGGTTCTGGAAAATGATACTTTTCTGATATTGATTCATGTTGCCGCTCTTTCTGTGACGAAATATTTTGAAAGTCCGTCCAGTTAACGACCGTCAAAGTGGACTTAGTAACAGTAATAGTCACCATACTCGTTTATCTATTAGTCCAAGCGATATTTAGCAAAACATTTTTCAAGTATATTGTAAAAAAATTAAGAATGGGAGCATTTTTGGATAAACCAAAGACAGAAAAGCATAATTCCGAGGATTCCGGTAATAATATACGCTACGGTATAGGTTCTATGCAAGGATGGCGCGTAGAAATGGAAGATGCTCATTCAGCGAAAATTGGCCTTGACAATCATAAGGACTGGGCTTTCTTTGCTGTTTTTGATGGTCATGCCGGCACAGGAATATCCATTCATTCATCTGCACATTTGCTGAACTGCATACAAGCGAACCAAGATTTTACCCTGGGTATTACTTCTTGCGAAAACGTAGTAATACAAAAAGGCATTCGTGAAGGATTTTTAGAACTAGATGAAGCTATGAGAAGTTTACCTGACGTAGTACAAAATTCAGATAAGAGTGGTACAACGGCGATATCGTGTTTTGTATCCCCTAAATATTATTATTTTGCTAATTGCGGTGATTCTAGAGGGGTATTAAGTCGGAATAATTCAGTACTTTTTGCAACTGAAGATCATAAACCTACAAATCCGAACGAAAGAGCAAGAATTGAAAATGCCGGTGGATCTGTACTTATTCAAAGAGTTAACGGAAGTTTAGCCGTGTCTAGGGCATTGGGAGATTACGAATATAAGTGCAAACCGGAATTAGGTAAATTTCTAAAACCTTTTTTTCTTTCTTAAGCATATTACCTCGAAAAATAGGACCTTGCGAACAAATGGTATCCCCTGAACCTGATGTAACCGTGATTGAACGAAAAAGTGATGACGAATTCATGGTTTTAGCCTGCGATGGTGTATGGGATGTGATGACAAATGATGAAGTCTGCGATTTTGTTCGTGATCGCATGGCTGCATGTGAACATTTAACCGATGTGTGCAACCAATTATTGGACACATGCTTGCATAAGGTAAGTTCGTCGATTTTCAATTAACAATGATAGAAAAACAAAAATAAGTGATAACCTTTGGTGATTTTCAAAAATCAGGGAAGCAGGGACAACATGAGTGTAGTCATCGTCGCTTTTGAGGGTGCCCCAAAATTCTCCGAAGCTGCGAAGGAAAGAGACGAACAGCTAAACGAAATCATCAGAAAAAAAGTTACTGGTAGATTGTAAACACAGTTACGTTTCATTAAACTATTAAACCTTCATGAATGGCAGAATTGTGTGCCGATGATGGTACATTGAACGAAGCTGGACCGAGCCTTGTGAACCACGTCATGAATTGTCTCGACAGTGTAAGACTGGAATTACCGCCGGGTGGAGGATTGCAAAGCAAGTAAGGAGATTTAATATTATAATTTTTCTAGTTGAAAATTTCAAAATCTAACTATTTCAGACGGCATCTAGTTGAAGAACTCGTGCGTGAATTAGTGCCTAATAATAACTCTGATAGTGAGGTAAATGTCGTAGACTAAAGAATTTTATTCGGTTTTTTGCTTTTGTAGACAAGAAAGGGCGTAAAGTCACTTGTTTGAAATTGCTTGCATGATAAACTTTGCGCACCAAGATGTCTATCTTTGTTTTAGTGTTTTAGTATCATAAAGAAGGACTTTATATTTCAGACGGTTTTTACGTTTTCTAATTTTGTCTTTAATATACGTAAATCGTCGATAAACTTCCAATATAAAAATTAAACTAGTCTCAGTTTGCCGTTATATTATAAATAGGCGAGGTTTAAAAACTATTACATTATTTACTCATATTAAAATGTCGATTTGTCTTTTAGTTCTTTTAGAAGTCTTTTAATATTTTTCTTGCAGTCGTCACCACCAGTGCTATCGCTGTTTCCTAAAGCTTCTTAAACAAAATCAAAGTGAGTTTTCTAGATGTTTTGTTGGATGTTACTAACAAACGCGGCCTTGGACAGGTTACAACCTGTATGGTTTAGGAATCGGACTGAATGATTTTTCTAAGAGACGGGAGGTCAAAAATTAGTGATTAAATGAAATGTATAAATTGATATGTAATAGCGAATTTCGAATTTCGTATGTCAATTAATAAATCATAATTTTGTATTATTTTCCTCGTTCCAGTGAAATGTTACTAAGCCTGATCAAATCTTAAGGTAAAAGTTTTATTTCACCCTCAAAATTTTTATTAATAATGTTTCTAGATAGATAAAACCGAGCCCTTATTTTTCTCAAAAGTCATTCTTTACGCTTCCTCAAACCAATATGGAGAGCAATCTGAATAGGATCGCGTTTGGTACTTAGCAGATATATAAAATTAATATTTACATATATAATTGAATATATATATATAAATACCATTAATATTATTAATATATATGTATATATATTTTCACGTTTGTAAAAACTTGAAAGAGCTGAACGCCTTTCATTTTGACAAGAATCAATATTGATGGTGTTGACTGTTGCCATATTATACATCAAGTATTTAGTAAAAGTGTTAAAGCATAAGGATAGATAAAGTAATATTTTTCTTATTTATATAGACAATTTGAATGCAGAACAGCGAATGGAGTGAGCGTGATTGTTATGTTTGAAATCACTTTATTTATACCATTCTGATTGAATCTTCTGTTTCAATTTGTCCTTAAAGCAGTTTTGTCTATTTGATAGTTTTTGTATTACACAAAAATAATTATATAATTAGGCACTATTCAAGAGTATTTGGTGGAAAGAGCATTCTTTTAATTTTTTTTTCTTCAAAGTACATCAATAGGAGACTAAAGCATCGATCAATTTGAAGAATGTATTTTATTTCTCATATTGATCAAGCAGTATAATAAAGTTTCCTAAATTTATACGTTTTAAACTATTTAAATATTTTTTATTATATAAATTTCTCGACGAACTTAACATCATCGTTCTTTGCTCAAAAAGTTTTCAGCTTCATCTTTAGGCGTTTTTTCCCCCACGTACTCTTTGTAGTAAGAAATTTTTAAAAACATGAACTGCAATGTGTGTATATTGTCCTAAGTATGAATAAATTAATTGCGTTCTTAAAATGCTGATTTTATATGAAAGTTTTGAGTATATGATGTACATATGTATTTACTTATACATTATATACATAGTGATTGTATATATATAAGTATATCTAGTGTAAGACTATTTTTACACTAAGAAAATTGTAAAGTTGAATGTTGTTGGTCTGTAACCAATTAAAACGTTGACAGATTTTATCATTTTCTTATATGATTATTCTTATTTCTTAGTTTCTTCATATCTGATAGCTAGCTCGAATTCTATCACAACATTTTTGTGAACTTCGTCTATTCAGGCTTTCGAATTAGTAACCTCGCCAGAATCTGAGTTATTGAAGGCAGATTCAGATAATTTCTGATGTTCGTGCGGCTCTTGCTCTTCATCTATGGCTGGTTTCCAATTATCCGTTGGTCTCAAAAGCATTTTCACTCTCTGTAACCTTAAAATGTTATAGGATTCTTGAAAATTTAATACTATACCAACCTGAACAAAAGTTCCCTTGGCATGACAAAGGATGCTGTACACAGCTACAGCAGGTATCACTAAAATAGAGCATAACGCGAACATCCAACCGATACTTACTGCCCATCCTGGATAAACGTAGCAGCCGTAAGTAACACTTTTGTGTTTCACAACAGCACTTATGAACACGAACTGGAAATTTTCAATAGAAATCTATACAAAAAAAGTCATTTTATTCAAGAATAATTTTACCAAAATAAGGGCAGGAGATATGAATTTCCAAGAAAAGATCCAATACATTGATAAATTATGCCCAAGCATACTAGCTGTATCGCTACGAAATTTATTGACACCTGTTGAAATATAATATAATCTTCTTTAGTATATATTCATTCGGAAGTAGATTAGAAAATAGACAAACCATAAATCCAGGCAATTACGACACATTCAATGAAAGAAATGATCATCAAAGAAAATGTAGACGCGTACCAATCCATTATGTGCAGGAAGTACATTCCGCCCTGTAATTTTGAAAATAAACCAATTTGAAATCTCTATTATATACTTATACTGAACCTGCGTGACACAAGGTATTCCAAGGATCAAACCTACAAAACACACGAACATAGTCAAGAAAATTTTCGCTTTTGATGCTTTTTTAGGTAATTCATCAACAAGAGTTGTCATCATCGTTTCAATCATGCCGAACTAATAGGGAGAATTGTTGTCGTTAACTTTTTTTTTATAAGGCTATATAACGTAAAATTATCGGATTTCAATAGAATTTCAAACGAACCTGACTGTCAATACCGACTGTAAACAAAAATATGAAAAATAAAACGGCCCAAAAATTCTTTGGTCCTGGAAATTGTGTAATGGCTTCTGGATATACAACAAACACTAAACCTGGACCTAAAAGAATTGAGATAAACATTTAGTTTTTTATTCGGTCATTTAAGCAGAAAAATATCTTTTTGTACCCTGAACGACAACGTCTTCGATGTCTAAACCGGTCTGCTTAGACATAAAACCTATAATGCAGAATATCACCATTCCCGCAAATATCGCTGTCAAAGTATCGGTCAGACCGACGATAATGGCATCTCGGTAGAAATTATTTTTGTATCTGAAAGGAAAGTCAATGAAGAAGGAAGATAATATTTCAATTAGCGGCGTATAACTTATTGTAACTGGAGAATGTGATGAGACTTCCCCATGCAGCCCCCATGCTATAAAACAGTTGCATAGCTGCTTTCGACCATGGCTACAATTAGAACCAATCTGTTATTGTCAGACGAATGTGCGAAACTATCCAATTTAAGCTTACTTCGAAGTCTAATAATTTCGACCATTTAGGTACAAAGTAAAACCAAAGACCATCCGACGCTCCGTCTAATGTAACCGCTCGGATGAAGAAAGTGATCAGAACTAATAAAAGAGTAATAAAGTTATATTTATTTCGTATAATTTGGACGAATAGTAAAATCAAAGGACAAACCTATATAAGGGAAAGTGACTGTAATGTAGACAACCTATAGAAGGAAGGTTGGAAGCGATTAAAGCTATATATGAAAACGAAAATTAGCATATTGTTTAATTATTATTACTTTGCCTGAGGATTTAATTCCTTTGATCAAGCATAAAAATACAAGGATCCAAGCCACGGCATTGGCCAAAAAGAGATGCCAAGTTTTTTTCAAACCACCTAAATTTTCAATTCCAGAGGACAGTTGAAGAACATTTCTCCTAGTTAGAGTATAGAGTATAGAAAAATAATTATGTTATTCAAACTGAAGAGAAAGATGAAAGAAGTTCATACTCCCAAAATTGTTCGCTTGGTGTTTGTATAATAGTTTGGTTAACTTCGCAAGTTTTCGATATAGTAAAATTATCAGTTGAATTTCTAGAGAAGACAACTCTACAAGTTTCCGGATTATTCCAAGTATTGTTGCAATTCGACCATGGTAGAGGTGAGCGAAATGATTGTGTAAAGAAGTACAAAGTCCAAGAAATAATTACGTTATAGTAAACGGAAGTTATTCCGCAAATTATACACATTGCATAACCGACACCTAAGAAAATAGTGACATTTGAACTTATTCATTATTTGTAAATTTATTGTACAATGGTGTGTGTGTGTGTGTGTGTACAATATTAAAATTGGAACGGGTTAAAGTAACATCTGCATACCAGACATATTATAATATAAGGGAGAACATCTGCCCAGAATTTACTATTAAGGTACGTACATTGGAAGTATGTACACCATATACCATATTAAACATGAACAATAGTGTCAAAAAAACTCTAAAAATGTTCGTTTCTTAATTATATAAATTGGAATATGTGCCAAAATAAATAGAGAGCAAACTTTTGACCAGAATTTTAAAGATAATATTAAGCCACGTGAAAAGTTTCTATAACCGAAATGAAATAGCTAGTTAAATATTTGAAATAAACATTGATAAGATACTTGAAAAGAAATAAATGTTTGAAATATTGAAAAAAAACCGGATTGAGATGGATAAGTTGAACAGGTTTTTTACTTGTTCATATCAGCGACAAAAACACTCTCGTCCTAATGGAAATCAACGTATAGTAAACGTTCACAAAAATAGAATTACACTGATAAGTTAGATGATAGTGTCGCAAACAAACCTTTGAACAGAGGACTTATTTCCCATACACCAATTGGTCCTTTGTTGGAAAATTGCCCCAAACCCATTTCCAACATTATTAATGGTATACCAAAAAGTAGTAGATATATTGTATAAGGAATAAGGAAAGCGGCTGTAAATAATTAATTTATTTTTTATGAAAGCATAATATGTCAAATGATCATTATACAATATTTAAATAAATATGAAAATTATGTTAAACTCTTCCATTATTACCTCCACCACCCTGGTAACATACATAGGGAAATCTCCATATTGTACCCAATCCTACTGCATAACCAATGCACGATAGAAGAAATTCGGCCTTTCCTCCCCAAGTATCTCTCTTCGCTCCTTCAACCATTTCACTCTTCGATTTACAGCTTCTAACTGCCGTAAAGCGCTGTTTTTTCTACTAATCTGTAGGCCTGTATACAAGAATAAACTGGACTTGGAAAATAGTAGTAAATATTTTTTTGAAAAAAAATTAACTGCTTTACCAGTTATTTATCATTTTCTTAAACTGTATTTATTCATTATTTTCGTTATCTCAAAATTAAAGAATTGCTAATCAATGGAAAGCTATATTTTTTATATGTATAGTTTATGAAACATTGTAATCTATTCCTATATAGAATTATTGTTTTTTGATAAACACTTCAACGCAATCTTTCCCGGCCATTTCTATTGTCAATTATTGTTGGTATTTTTTTTTAATTATTTTATAGTTCTTCTAAAGCTTTTCAATGTTTGAAAATGTAAGGAATTCAAGGAAATTTAACGGTTAAAAAGAAGAATTTTAGTCTTCCAAAAAAAGTTATATCAAAGTATTTTTTTGCAATTTAAAAACTATAATGAATGGCTTCTAAGCGAAGGGTTATCCCTAATTGATATACAGTATATATCAATATCTATTTGTATATAAGAAGTTGAATTAGATTATATATCTATCGTTTCTTTTTGGTTTTTACATCTTTTTTTAACAGGTGGGCGTAAATTATCTCGACCCTATTTCCCATGTATGCTGTGCGCCATCTAGTAGGTTTAGACTCAAAAAACTTGTCCTCTTTTCAGACCTTTCTTTGTTAGACGTATAAAATACCAAACTATTCAAATAATCTTAACAAAGCTATATTTTGATTAAGAATTTGTTGAACGCTTAAGATAATTTTAAATTGGTTCATTTAATAAAGTTTATAAGGAAAAAATAATGGAATTGTCTTTTAGACTGGTTTAAATGGTAGGCATATTTTAGTGGAAAAGTGGGCAACAGCTCTGCTTCCGTCAAACATCCACTTTTCTCTATTTTGCATATCGCATTTTTCCGCTTCCTCTGTAGTTAAACCTAACAGAAGGTCACACTTGACAGTTCTCAATGCACATATTGGAGCGGGTTGGAAGCAACCAATAGCTACATCAAAATCAGTTAATATGCTCCATTTACTATCTCTGCATAATTTCCTATAATTTAAATCTCCTTTAAAAATTAATAAATCGGATGAAGTCAAGTTTGCGTATAGTTGCATATCAACTTCTTCCATTTCCCAAAAAGAATATGGTAGAGTCCAATATGCTTCGATAGTGATTTTCCATTGTCCACTTTGAAAGCGATCTTTCCATTTACTTCCCAACTCCTTTAATTGATCTGATTCAGACGTAACCATTTGAGTAACAGTCCATTCAACATCTTTAGACGTTACATCCGATACAAACCAAGGATAGGATTTTACATGAAAATATATGATATCTACATCAGTACACAACATTAAGTATTCAGCAAGGCAAAGATCACTAAATAATTCAAATCCTGCATTATCCAATACAAAATCTATTCTCTTCTTTTCTTCTTTATTCCTTATATAGTTCCAGATATAATCCCAGACATCATGTTTACAATTATGTAGTAAATTAGGTCGAAGAATAGATAATTGTTCAATTGGATCAACCGTTTGGGTGTTTTCAGCACCAGCTGATATTGACAAATCACATTTATTTCCCCACAATGCCACCTAAACAATGGTAAGAAAGAAGTAACGATAATCAACTATAAAGAAAACTACACAATTTACCTCAAAAAACTGTTCAAAATGTTCATACATATACTTTTCATCCTTATAATCAAGTGAGGTGACAAATAGAAGGTGTTTTGCCAAACTTTCGGCAGCGTTTATCGATGTAAACCAAGCGTTTTGTTTACTTTCAAAAAAGTAATCGAAATCTTTGAAGTGAGTGCTATAAAATAGACGATAATTTAAATTATTGGTGACGGTTGTAAATTAACCATACCTCATATTAAAACTTTCAGCCAATTTTCTATAAAAATAACATTCAACGTACAACCACGAAGACGTAAAATGTGATGGACTTTCATTTCCAACTGTCTGATTTAATAGATAATCATTCCATACTTTAACATCCGGCAATTCATCATTTAATTTTTCAATGGGCTTGTTTGTCATAAGAAAACTACGAAATTTAGATAATTTTCCTATGATCGCCTTTAGATCAGTTTGCCTATCCTGAATATCATGAATATTTAATGACTTATTTTTCTAGTCTATTTTCTAGGTAAATATTTACATTTTTTTCACAGTCTCTCTTCCTAGCGATGCTGTCTATGAGCTTCGTTAATATAATAGGTAAACGATCTTTTACCGTTGGATAAGCAAAATCCCTGAAAATTGGCATAAAATCATCAAAATTTGACAAACATATTTTGATATAATAAATAACCGATTAATAATGTATTGTTTAAGAAAAGTGGTTGATTTTTAACATACTCTTTGAATTTGGCTGATAACTTTCTTGGAACACATCCACTTGCCCCCTCCATTGAAAAAAAAAACAAAACGGTTACACTAAATCAAGAATATGAAGCATTATACTGCAATGGGGAGAGTTGTTTTTTTTTCATAAAAAAATCCATAATATATATGGAAACTATACTATATTTAAATAGTTACTCATTAGTATGATCAATCTATATATATGATCAATGCTCCTTCTAGTATTTGATTAATTTTCCCAATAGTTCTTTTTTTTTGTTCACCTGATTCGTTAGTATTGAAGAACTAGTGTCAAGGTCAAGTCCCTTTTTTTCCTTTTTTTTTATAGCATTGATGTCATCATTTATTTTAGCAATGAGAAAAAGCTATTTATGTAACATGATCAGTTTGAAACGTATATTTAGATTATTGTAATTGTCATTTAGTTAAATCATTTTTTTATTATAAATATAGATAAAATTATACTTCTAAATATAATATATATATAATGAATACTAATATATATGTATATATGGAAGTTCAATGAAAAAAAAACCCTCTACATAAATATTGTGAATATCAAATATCTATTTCGCAATAATACTTGACTTTTACTTATATTATATATGCTAATTATGAAATCTAACTAAGGTTACGTTAATATAAATAGAAAAAGAGAAATTTTTTTATCAAGGAAAATTAGTATATTTGTCAAAAGAGTTTGATTTTCATATATATATATAATGCCACCAGGTTGTACGAATGAATACCAATGGTAAATATTTCTGTTGTTTATTTTACTCAAGTACTTGGATATATTGTATGATTTTCCTCTTTCTAATAAAATTTTGCTACAAGATTTTCAATTGAAAAACCAGAAAAAGAAAATTCCCACCAATTTGTTTTTTATATTTATTATACAAAACTTTTCTACTCTTTGTTTAGGATTTTTCTAGTCTTTACCAATCTGTCATTCGAATATTTAAAAATATATTAAACACATACACAAAGTAAGTCTAAACTACCCTGAGTGTATTTTTTAAAATTGGACAAATTCAAATTCTCATATTATTTAGGTTAATAATGGAAAAAAACGTTTGTCAAGTTCTATTGTAAGACAAGTTCTTTTAATAAGAGTGAGATTGTCTATTCAAATATTAAAACTTTTATTAGAAAAAATTCTCATAGAAAAATCTATTTTAGTACTTTTCAATATTATATTGAAAGTTTTCTGTAGTTGCACGTAAATGATTGCTTGTTTTAGGTATACCCTAGCAAAATATTGAACCAGTTTCTACGTGTGCTAATAATAAAAAAGAACACTGTGTACCAATTTCGGCATCTTTTAATCATGCCTGTTCACCCAATACATAATCACAAGAATATGATTGCAAAATGTGCCAAAATACTAAACGAAGAATGGCCACGTAATCTCGAAATTAGGTCCGAATAATTCATTAGTTTACTACTTAAAACGTTCGATTAAATACAGCTATTTTTGTTATTAGAATTACACAATTAGAAAAGTCCTGTGATGAATTGCCTACTTCTTTAGCTTTTAGTAACGACACCCAAAAAGTTGTTGGTCACTGTAGATTATGTAAAGTCTTGGGTCATGATGACTGTTGCTATATTGAATCAGGTAGATAAAAGTGCAATAGAATACTAGGAGAAAAAAGCAAAAAACTCAAAATACCCTTGTTTTACTATTTTATATTATTAGTTGTAATAAAGAAGAAACATAGAGGTAAAGGATATGGAAAGAGACTTATGAAAGAGGCGGAAATTTATGCAAAAAGGTAGGAACTAGTTTTAATCAAATGATTACTTTAATGTAAAGATATCTATTTCAGCATCGGAATTACAGTTATTTATTTAACAACACACGATGTTCAAGATTTCTATTCGTCTATAGGATATGTGTATTGTGAACCGATTGTTACTATGGGCATGAATTCGAATAATTTTTGCGAGGACGTTGTAAGTTTCATATTTATATTTTTGTTTGACAATGAAATAGAGGTGAAAGGCCGGCAGATGTCTTGAAAACAACAATTTAATGTATTCAACAGTCTAATTTACTGTGTTTCTTAGAAAAAAATGTTGGAAAGTTGCTTCGGTCAAAAGAACATTTGTATTAGTGAAATGAAAAAAAAAGAAAGGAAGCCTGTGGAGATTAAACAGGCTTCCCCTTCACAGGTCCCGCCGCCACCTGCCCCGCCACCTCCTCCCCCTGCAATGAGCGAAAGTACATTCTTCAAAGAGATTCGACGCCTGGGCAAAAAGGAAGTGAAATGGATGAAGAAAGAGCTTTTGTAAATCGGTAGATGGCGGTAGATGCTTGTAACTTTCCCTTTAAAAATTATACTAATTCTATAAATAACTCGAGTTTTTCAATAAAAAAATACCTTCAAATAAGACTTGGAGTGAATATAAATTTGTTAATGTTAGTAAAGAATGAACAGCCAATGAGGAATACTCTGTTTTCAACAAAGAATATTCGTTTGCGTTATGGATCTTTTAACGTAGAATTTTTTTTATTTTTTTCTGTATTTTATTTAAATCAATTGTAAATTAAAATAGTAAAAAGTTATAATAATTAACGAAAAAAATTTAGTAAGTAAATTAGCTTAAAACAAACAGCGCGCGCTGCAGTAATCGCAGAGGTTGGGAATAAACACTTCCGGTTTCATCGACCAATCAACGTGGCGCACTCTTGCTAGCAATACAAGCTCCGAAAAAGCGGCGCGGCGCGTGAACAGGTAAAAGATTGAAGTTGGGCTTTTTTAATTAACTCTTTGCGCGTTGGTGGACACTAATTGTGCGAGGAATTTGTACGATAAATCATCTCTAAGAGCCGCTAATCGATCGATCGCCTCTTGGGCTGGCCAGACTAGTCGATGGTAAGTTTATTACTGTTTTCTTCGAGTCTTCCTTCTCTATATCTCTGTTATGTCTTCTAATATGCTTTAGGATTTTGACAATGTCGTGGTCGTTCGTTTTTCTAGGTTCGAACAAATCGGCCTACTAAAATAAATGACGAAGAAATTTTGATGAAAAACAATAGCTATGCGCCGAATCGTCTTGTTTGTCATTAAAGTAATCAGAATCGAATATTTTTTTATTTAAGAAAGTAAGGTATAAGTGAAAATCATTAATAGATTTCTGATCAATTTTAATTTGTCACTTATCTTATCGGTCGTTGAACGTCAAAAAAAAAAAATACTGAGAACACATCAGATAAGGATAAAAGAGATTATTATAGCTGGAAGCGAATCACCTTGCTCGATTATAACCATCGGAAGAGTCAATAAAAGAAGAGAAATAGAAGGAAGTGGAACGACTGGAAATAAAGCGGTGAACAATGGAAAAGAGCGGTATACGAAACTTGGAAAGTCGCCAAAAATCCAAGAGCGCACGTGTTTTTTTTATGTCGTTCTATGTTAAAAAAAAATTCGACCAACTCTCCTCTACGTTTGTTCATTAACGTTGAAATTTACTTTAAAAGCGGTAAAAAAACATATATATGTAAATGAAATTTTTTTATCCTAAACAAGATATGAAGAGGAAGAGGGAAGATGACGATGACGTCTGCAAACCTTATTATGAATTGCGAAGGTCCGTACTGTGTTTATCAATGAACAAACTACGTTCTCCCGTCCCTATTTCGGGACACCACTGTAGGCGCGTCGAGCCGAGTTTAAGGCGTTCCGTCCTCATCTGCAATACTGTACGGAAAATCGAAAATGAACTGAAGGAAGAGGGAATAAGATTCCGACCTGTACCACCCTCATCCTTTTCACCCCCAACCCAGTTGCTTGATCCTCCACCCTCAACTGCTCCTGCTGGTCCCTGGACATCCCTGCTAGAAATGGAGGACGATCTACCTAACGTCCCCTCAAACGTTTCAATTGCTGATCTCGATTTTACCGCCTTAATGTTCGATAGGGACTCCTTATCTGCAGTACTAACTGATTCATTAAACGCTTTGGCTGGTACATTTCCATACGGTGGTTGTAATATGCAAGCAGCCACCGATGAACTTGAACATATTATGGAAGTTTTAGTTGGTATATAGTATATGTAGTTCGTTCGATGCACGCTGTTGCGCAGGGAATTGTATGAATAATTTATTTCGTGGCGTTTTCCACTAACTTTCTAAAACTATATTTACATTACAACCGAGTTAGTGCTATTAAAAAAAAACGTGGGAAAGATAACAAGAAAAAGGCAAAATAGGAAGAAAAACCTTTTTAGGAAATTTTTTATCCCTTAAAAAGTATACAAAAGTATATATTTCAACTTTTATATAACTTTTGTATGCCTATAACAACTGTACAGTATATGTATATATATATATATACAAGCTATGTATGTATTATATACTGTAGATAAAGTATATACACAACTGGTGAATACACGTACATGGGTGTACGACACATACCAAGGAAAGATAGATATTTATATATATGCACCAAATATATATTTTATATATATTTATATATATATATAAAGTGGGATAGCTGAGTAAAAAATGGAAATAGATAGAAGTTGCATCGAAATCAATGTTTCTATGGAGACGAGTAAATGCATGCTAACTACATTTTCAGACTGGTTTTGCACCGTTGTTTTTCATCGTTTGAAGTTTCTCTTCTATAATAATATCGTTTTTTTCTTTACTCCCATCAAAAGTAGAATATTTGACATCGGGGTGCATCGGACGTTGTTGTATCAATTCTTAGGTTTATGTGCCAACGTTCTTTCCAGCGCGTCACAATCGTATAATCAATCCTATGTTAAAATGATTTATGCAATTACGTTGTTTTTTCTTTATATTTTTTTTCCCTTTTTTTTTGACTCAACTTGATTCCAAAAATCTTAGAATCGAAAAAAATTTGTTAAAAGGAGCAAAAAAAAAGTGAAATATCAATTTTCTTTTATATAAATGTATATGTTTTAAAAAAAATGCATCTGTGCATATTTCATATATAGCTCTAAATGAGAATACATATATATATATATATATTATACGTAAACAATTGAATATATATATATATATATATATATATATATATATAGTATATATGTATATTACTCTTCTATTCATATACACAGTACGTACATGTGTATGTAGTATACATTTATGTATTTCATAAATAAATATACTGCATACATGTATACAATGTATGTATTTTAATATATAAATATAGATATACTTTAAGTGTATGACATTTAGTATATGCGCTGAGTATATCTATGTATACGTATATATAAATATATATATATATATATATATACATTTATTATCCTTATACTTATATTTTTATGTACATTTATGTATTCATCCATGCATGTTTACAAATGTACAACTTAAAATTGTCAAAATGTAAAATATGTATACATATGTATATATTTATATATATATATATGTACCGTTATATATATATATATTCTGAAATGTATAACGCACGCGGATAGAACGCAGCAATTCGATATCCGCGCAAGCGGCGTGTTGTCATAGCAACAGTGGCCAAATCGATATCCCATACGCTTTTCTTAGCGATGCCTGTATGTTTCTACTTTTGCCGTTTCTTGTCTCATTCCTTGCTGTTTTTATTTCTTCAAAGTTAATATTTTTTATGTATAATATTTTCTCCAATTTTCTTTATGGTTAAGTTACGATTGCGATGCCATACTAGTTATGATACATGTATGCATATATACAAAGTATATATATATACACTGTATATATCATTATATATAGTGTATATATTTGAAGTTATATGTATGTAGTAAGAATAGAATAATAAAGTAGAGTAAGGAGAGGAAAAAGCTAGGAAGAGGCACAGACAGACAGACTGATACTGATAGAGAGAGAATAAGGGAGAGAGAAAAAGAGCTAGAGAAGAAGAGATAGAGAGAAAAAAATGCGAAAAGAGGAGAAGAAAAGGAAATGAAAGGCAAAAATAACACATCTATGTAAACTATGAGTGAGCATCTTTGTACATACTTTGTTCTGGTACTCAATTGTTTTAAGGCTATTTTGTGCCTTGTCTTACAATCAATAGTTGTATCTGTATACGTTATTATATTTTGATAGAAAATCGAAAAAAAATCTTAATAAAACGAATTATTACAAATTCAACCGCTAGGTGGCATTTTCTTTTATTTATAGGCTAATGGTAGGTGGCGTATTTGAGAATACTAAAGTAAGATGAGGGTGTAGCCTAAGAAGACTTTTATAAATCCAAAGACCTTGGAAGAATAGAAAGACGATCCAAATTAGCCTAATTAAACTTCCGTTCTCTTATGTACTTTTATAGTAATTTTTTTACATATAATAATTATTCACACAAATTTTCGTTTAAAAGGGTTTTTACGTCTTGGTCCATCAATTAGGTCAAAAACTTGGCGTTCACGTCTTATTGACTTTTTTGGAATATTAGCTGTAAATTGCAAGCTGACATATTCGAATAAAGTTCTGTTACTTAGCAGTTAAATCATTCAAGCGTACGCTTAATAAGATTCTTCTAACTTGTGTACTAGACACAAAACAATATAAAACCGATGAGAGAGTATGAAACGCACGCAGCCACACACAGACACAGACACAGACACAGACACACACACACACACATACAACGTATCTAATAAAATGTGTGGATTTTTTTTCTAGGTTTACATTTTATAGAAGTACCACAAAATAATACGAGCATTGTATATTCAAGTCAATAGATAAACCTCTAAAGAGAAATCAGAATGAAAAGAGAAGGAGAATATTCCTCTTTTTTTTTAAGTGATAAATTACGTTAGATACTTAAAAAACCTTGGATTTTTTATAGCAAATATTTAAACATCTTCCGCAAACTATAAACATTTATTACAATAGAATGATATCAGCCATAATCCAACAATAATAGACTAATAACGAGATTCGGTGTCAAATTCTGACCATATTTACTTTACCTACATGGGAAACTTTCCTTGTCTTGGATTCATTGTCATTTTTTTCTACTCATTTTTATGTTACTTGCTGCTCGGAGGATGATAGCTTTAAAAAAAATGACCCATTATTATAAAACAAGCTTCCGTATCCTAAACTATCCTTATATATATATATAGTATTTTTGTAGAGAAAGAGAAAGAGAAGGAGAGAGAGGGAGAAAAAAAAAGAAGAAAGAATAGGGGAAGAGAAGAAGACGAACGGAATATTTTAATTGAAAGTATTATAAAACGATTTATTGGATTATAAAAAATTGATTTTTTATTAGTATCAAATTCCAGTTTTTTTTCTTCTTTTTTCATATATTTTAATAGACTGTCTTTTTATATACAATATATATTTTGTTTTTTATTTTAAATCTCATAAATAGATTTATAGATGTATTAAAAGTTCCCCAAAATAAAAAAAAATACATTATTAGAGCAAAACCTATATAAATATTTACTATAAAATTTTCATTATGTAATAGACGCTTGTTTTAAGAAGATTTTCACGGAATATTTGTAGCTGTAGTGCTAATGGTAGTAGTAGTGGTAGTAGATATTTGTTGTCTTGTCTTTTCTCATATATATATATATATGTATAGAGAGAGACAGACAGACAGACAGACAGAGAGAGAAGAAGAATAAGAATAAGATTGTTTTGTTTCAACGTTCATTTGTAATGTTAGGTTTTTGAAGCACTGTACACATAATTTTTTAAGCTGCAGGGAAAGAATCTTAGGAAATTTTAAGTAAAAAAAATACAATAGGATGGATGGGAGTATGGTTATTAGGATAATTGAGATGGAGTGATGAGTGAATTTGTTTTGCTATATATTTGCGCTGTATATTTGTATTATGCGGTGTATAAAATTTCTTCAAATGACGTTTTTCTTTTTTTTTTTTACTTCTCAGTAACCAAGTTGTCTATCCCAACTTTTACTGCCATAATCATCAAAGGTGTTCATATATTCTCTTGAGCTATTTTTAGCTCTACCACCGGCCGGTGCGTTTTCATAATTATGAACGCCGTTTTGCGATCTCTCTTCAATGTAAACATCCTTGATGGATTCTTGGTCGTCGAATGTATCATCAGCAAATGCCATAACTTGTTCTTGCTCTTCGTATTGCCTCTTAATGGACCATAATGTTGGATCATAATTTTGATTAATTTTAGGTGCTTGTGGTTGAATGGGAATTGGGGTTTGAAAGTGGTGTGTTAGAGGTACTCCTGCTTGGCTAACAGAAGGGGGTAGAGAACCGTATTGGTTGTCTCCGTTAGTCGTCTTAATCGGAACGGGCGGTGGAGGGTGTTGGTTGCCGTGCAGCGACATCTGTCCGTTTAATTGTACACCTGACAGAATGAAAAGAAATTCGATCATTTTCATATTCATTTTCCTTATTGTATTATTAATTAAGAATAGGTTTAATAGGCGCATTGTTTTCATTTAACGAAGCCCAAAGTATAGGAAGCCAAAATATATAGGGTTTATCTGTTAACAATTCGCTTCTGAAACTTTTCTCCCCCTGACCTTCAGTATTGAAAAGCACTTGACGGCTAATATAAATCATTCAATATAAGAGAACGTAGAACACATTCTATTTTCATTGATGAATTAGTCGGCAAAAAAAACCGTGAAATATTTTGGCTTTTAGTAGATTTTTATATCGTATATATATAGATATATATAGATATAAATATATATAGACATATATATAAACTCATTATAAAGAGAAGATAATGATTACATGAAAAGAATGTTACCTTGTTGAGGGATGAAGTTTCCTCGTCTTACTTCACTGTAAACGGGATCCATACCCTGTCTTAATTGTCTCGGGTGAGACATGTCACGTTACTTAATAATTTTCTATATAAAAACTATAGTTTCTCTGTTTTTTAATCAAACTTATTGACTTTTGATCAACACCTTCAGGTAGAGAACACCGCCTATCTTTTTCCTTAATACAATATCAAACTTCCCGTTGTATGGGGGAAAGGGGGTGCCACTGCTTTAGAGGTCTGAACGAATCGCTACTTTCACATGCAAATATCTCGCGTTGAAATTGCCACAGCGACACCTGGCCGTCTTCGTTTATCGATCTTTATTTTACGCGCCCTGTTTTATATCAATACGTCATCAGAGTCCTTCAATACGATATCTCATTTGTTATATTCGCTGTTATTGTGATTATTATTAGTGTCTAAATTATTAATATTTCTTCATCTAATGTCTATTTCCCTTTTGACAGTCTCTTAAACAAAATTAATCAATAACAAATTCTACAAGACCATTACAAAATTACCAATTACTATTAAATAAGAACGTTTCAAATGACTTTGTATACATTAAAACTAATATTCGATCGTTACCCGCCTATTATTTCATCTTTTCCGCTCTTTCGCTATATTATGAAATATAAGAGTCGGTTAGCAAACTTTATCGGCTCAGTAAATAGCAATAAAATACTATCAATCTTCTTTACAAACTAGATATCTTAACAATGGATAACAAAAAAAAATTGGAAAGAGAGAGAGAGAGAGAGAGAGAGAGAGAGAAAGAGAAAGAGAGAAAGAGTTTATCACAAGAAAAGAAAGCAAATTATCACAACGACAATACATGATAGAGAAAATTAAAAGAAATGCCCAATCGTATCCGAGTATTGAACTTGATATTGGTTTACTATTTAATTCAAGATACGTAGTTTCCTTTCATAATTTTTCAATGAAATTTACTTTATATGCATAGTATAGAGTAGTATATGATATATATTGTATATTATGCTGTATATTTTCCTCTTTTGAACACTCTTGTTAAATATATATATATATATATACATGCAAGTATACTATTATATTATGAAATATATTCAGTTCATTCACTCACCAGAATGTCTGGTACGTATGTAAAGCTAACAATTTTATGTTTAAAAACGACGTTCAATTGGTTAAGAACCAGTTAACAGTATACAATATCGCATTACTTTAACCTATTGTCTGATATAACATTTATGTTAAATATTAGAATATAACAGCTAATGTTTACTTTGATTAAAGATTTTATAGTAATCTATTACTTATTTCAGGTTTATTTATCGATATTATTTAGTTTTAATATTTAAATATTAATTGGAGTTTTGTTGATTAAGGCAGGAAAAAAAAACAAAGCACTTAAAATTAAAAAGGTCTTCTTAGTTCTCCGTTGAATACATACTCTCTTTCCTCATAATTCATTAGTTTTATTTCTCTTCCCTATTCCGTCCTTTTTGTCTCCTCTACTCCTACAATATAAAAGGTTTAGATTCTGGGCGCCGACAATAATAATATTGGTTGCTTTTCTAAAAGTCGTCGACCGCTTTGGTTGTATGAAAAAAAAGAGGGCACTGACGCTTGCTTCAAACGTGTTGTAAAAGATCTTCTAGAAACAACCAATAATGGGGTTATTTTTATTTTACACATTAAAAAAAGGTGAAATTGTCTGGTATCCAATAGTCCAACAAGATTCTAACAAAGCATCCCTGTCGTTTTATTATATTAAATATAACGAGCAAAAATAGAATCGTTAATGATGTAATGTTGCCTTTCAACAATTTTTATAATGTATACAGGTCTTAAATACATATAGGTAGTCATTTCAAACGTTTCTATAAAGGCGAATGATTTCTTTAGTTTACAGAACCATACGGTATTTCTTTTTATTTAAAAACAAATCTACTCATTTTATTCTGTTGCAGTAACTCTTTATATTTATAAATATATAGAACATATACATATACTGTATATATAAATTTGTTTTTTCTCTCTTTGTACGTTTCTCCATCACTCTCCCTCTTTTTCTTTTTTCTTTTTTTTTACCCTATACCTACCTGCCTATCTATCTTTCTTTCTTCTCTCTCTCTCTCTGTCTTACTCTTTCATTCTTCCTTTCGCTTTTTTTCTGTCTTTCTCTCTTTTTTCCATTTCTCTTTCCCTCACTCACATATTTCTCTCTTCTTTCCTCCTCCTTTTTTAATTTTCTTATTTTTTTCCTAGAAAGGAGTCAACATAATAGACAAAACTCGATTGATTTAGACGCGCCTTTAGTACATTCTCTATTAAAGATTGTTGCTCTTACGACATTTGTATCCCTCGGGCTATTTATATTATCGACTTTGTCGAACGGGAATGTTCCATTTTAGCTTGTAAATAGATTCTCTTTCAGTTACTTATATATTGTTTAGATTGTTATAAGAAATTCGATACTTTCTAGTATTTAATTTATACAATTTACAAGATACTTTTAACTACGATAAAATAGAAATATGCAATATACGAATATTAAGGACTATTTTACTAGCATTTCCTTATTTACATGTTTATAAAGATGTCATATTTATTCAATATTAATCTGCTAATGTCGTACTTTACTTATGAAATTTTTTGCCTATAGATTATTATATACTATATATTGTGTATAGAGCTTTCTCTATGTCCTTCCAGTTATTACTCTCCTCCTTGTCTCTCTCACTTTCTCTCTCTCGCTCTCTTTCTGCTTGTTTTGCATTCTTTCACTCCCCTTATCCTCCCAAATAACACTATTACATGTTATTGATTTGCATGGATTTTTCTATTAGAAGTGATTTGTACGAGAAAAAAATAGCACAGTGTGTTTAAGAATATTTCGGAGAATGTTTTAGCCCTATAGGAATTTATGTAAATATTGAAATGTATAATAGATACTAGTAATAGACGAGAATAGGGAGGGGTCTTGATAAATAGTATTAATCAGTTTACGAAATCTTTTAGAGATTATTGATATTGTTATTATTATTTATTAAATGATTATAAATTTAATAAACGTTAAAAAGCGAATTGAATAGTTAAGGGGAAGAAATGACATGTTTGTTAAAGTAACAATACAACTGTGTTTATATATTTATATTGAGTTTCAAATTTCTTCTATTCTGATTAAAGGTTTTACAAGAAATTACCGAAGGAGAAGCTATGACGAATGCAAAAATTAAATAAACTTTCTATCTTCTTCGTTGTCGCCTTATTTCTTGTCTTTTTATTGTTAGAAATCCAATATAAATAGAAAATTTGCATTTAATCCTTTTGAACTCGAAATCGTTACTATTTTGGTCGTTAAAATCGCCTTAGATTGACACCTTTTCATTTATCCCAAACATTTTCTCTACTTTTATTGATTTAAGATCGTCTCTTCCCTCTCTTACCCGTACAGCTCTATCTTTCTTACTGTCCCTTTGAAAAGGATTTCTCGAAAAGGTTTAGCTGCGGTATGTTCTAATCTAGAACTATGTCTCTCAAATTTTTACTTTCTTCATCCAACACCTCAACGCCTGTCATAAATCTATATCAGCAATTAATAGTAATAACCGGAGGTACTATATTACAAAATGAAAGGATTATTAATTCTCTAGATGGCGCTGTTTCCTTTCGAATTTTCTCACCTTTTACCTATTAGGATTAAAGATAAGCAGAGTCTATTCTTCTTTTAACCTCAAACTAAACAAAAACAGAGCCGCTCCAATAGCAATTGCGTGTTAAATAAGATTATTAGCAAGAGAATTTGATTATTATTATTAATGAACAATATTCTTCGCTCAGGAAGTTAAAAAAACGAGAGACAAACGAGTCAGTAAACAAGATAATTATAATAAAATATGTTAATTCAAAAAAAAAATAGACATAAAGATTTAAGAAAAGGGAATTTCATTAAAATTTTCCCTTAAAGAATCCTTCGTCACTAATTTAGTCCTCATATATATGATGTACTTAATAATTTAAGAAATTCCTCCAAATGACAGTAATAAGCTTTCTTTTACTGTATTATCTACTTTTATGCGGTATTCCATGCATTCCCTTTTTCATATTTTTCTACATTGTTCCTTGCTCTCTCCTTTAATATTATGTTACCTAAAAATAGTTTCCTTTATATAGTTTCAGTATACACTATACTTTAATATATATATATATTTATATGTATGTATGTATGCATATATACAGTATACAGTATATATAAATAAAATATAAGTAAATATAGTAAGAGAAATACTTATTCTAATTAACAGATATAGGGTAAACATTAAGTATTACATATATATGAAGATAACAAGCTTTATGCTTTGGAAAATATAATCCTTGTGGTCCTTTTTTAAGTGTACTCTTTTAAATATTAGTATATAGCATTCAATAATGAAATAATAAACTATATACATATTAGTACATATGCAGATAGACACAATATATATATACTGTATATATATATATATATATATGAATACAGTTTTTAATTAAACAACGGAGAAATATGGTAAATTATCTTTTGCCTCAGTCACTTTCATATACTACTTTGCAAAGGGATCTAAAAAAAGTATGTCTAATCAAGTGAATAATTTAGACTCAGAGACTAGTTTTTTTCTTTACTAATAAATCAGTTTTTTCTAAGGACCCAGCCTTTAATTATTTAAATAAATATTTATTGTCTTTTAACATTGGTTCTAATTTTAATTCTTGATCGAATTCTTTTTTTAGCTTTTTTAAAACATCTGGAAAGATGAGTAATATCCAATAGTATTATTGATGTCATAACGAATCCAACTACAACTCCGAATGATGTACCAATGTATTCGGCAGAGGGAGCTTCTGTTGTCTTTTTATCAACGACTTCTACAGTTTCTATTGGATTTAACGTTTTTTTTAGTACTTTAAATAGATAAAGGGAACTTTAAAGAATCTATGCTAATATTAGTAAATAAATACCTTCGCATTCTTGTATATTTGGTTGCCATACATCTTGACATAATGAAATCTTGTAAGATAGTTTCGATCTATAACCAATCTCGCAGCTACAATTCAATTCCGTACCCCAGTTTGTCGAATTCTTATCACAAACTACTCCTTCCCATACTGGTATTGGTTTACACTCGTTTACTGAATATAATTTCAATATTAGTGTTATTGGAAGTTTGTTTATTTCTCGTTAATAAAATAATTATAGTACTTTTGCAATATCCAGCGAAAGACCAGCTTCCGTCGATTTGGCATGTTGAATTTCCATCTCCACCTTCTAAGGAATATCCTCGTAGACAAGAATATTTCGCAACCGAATTATATTCAGTGGTCGTATAGCTTATATTAGCATTCGGTATATTTTTCGGATCGGGACAAGTCACCCCTAAAAGATAATACACACGAAAATAAATGTTAATTATCAGTATTTAAGTAGATTTAATGCAATATTGATATTTATAATGTAAATAGGCTGATTATATGTTATTAATGAACAAACTCTGGCAAGACTTTGGATCAATTTGTTTTTGCCATTTCCCATAGATATCACACTTTACGTAAGTTGTTGTTAAATTTGATTTAAACCAGTAGCCAAGTTGACAAGTTAAATTATATTCCAGGTTCTTAGAGATCCAAACAATCTTGGAAAAAGGTATACTCTTCGGAGTTGTACATTGTATTCCTTAAAACAAACAAGCAAGCATAAGAACGTAAATAAAATGCTTTATTCCTATATACTTTCACATATATTTCCCCAAATTTTAGGTACCCAATTTCCATTGTAACATTGTAATGTTTCGGATAGTTTAAATAATTTCGTTATATACCCAAGAAAGCATTTTATATGAACAATAGTTCCATTTTCTGTCAATTTTGTACTAACGCTCGAATGGTTCTGTTGCGATAAAGCTGGACAATTATAGGCTTTAATTAGGAAAAAAGAGATTAAGATTAAAACTGGGGGAATTTTTAATTAAGAAAACAAATCCGGAAATGTTTATACCGGAACAAGTAACATTTTCAATATTCCATTTTTCGTTTTTAGAGCACCTTAAATCGAAAAAATCATATCCGAATTTTGTCAATGTACTATTATTGCATTTGTATCGAATTAATGTTGTATTAGTTTCCGGTGTGTTGGTAACTTTTCTTGCATATTCATAAGTTGGAGCATTAGCGCATAAATTAACTGTAGGAATAATAAAAATAAACATACGGTATATAGTATTTGCCCATAAACAAACATCTAATCTATACATTTCTGTAAAAGATATTGATTAGTATTAACCTTTGCAATTAACAAAAGAAGAATCGTTCCATAATCCATTCCAACAGGATAAATAAACAGTCTCTTCTCCGTCAACAAATCTAAAACCATCTATACAAGTTAGTTCAGCAATAGTACTATTTCCATTTAATTTAACATTGATATTAGGCCAATACGGTAAGGGTGGACATAACTTTTCCGTTTCAATGTCTAATTGTCTCTTACAAACTTTGGCATACTGTCGTTGGTAACTTTTTGTAGATTTTGCAAAAGTGTCTAATAAATCCTTATCCTTTAAGCAATCTATTTCTATTAATAATATGAATGTTATGTAATAGATCAAAGAATATTTTGTAAACCATTTATTATTTACTTTGACAGGATTTATCGATGTTCGACCATACATCTTGTCCTATACATTCGCTTCCTCTGTATAAAGTATGATCAGGAAATTCAAATCCAAATCGACAAAATCGAATAAGTAGGCTGAAAATTGGAATGTTGTCTATATATCTCACTTCCGTTTGTTTAAAAACATTGTCCATCGAACAATTCACCGAAGGAGCTGGTGTTGTGATACCACTTTGATATATTTCTTTCAATGTCTTTGATTGTTTCCATTGCTCAATTATCTCAGTTTGGTTAGATAAATCAATAGATGTTAATTTTGAATCAATTGAATATGTACTTGATTTCTTAGTAACCTCAATTCTATTTGAAAATATTTTTGTTCGAGTCTGGAAATTCAATCATGTTAGCCACCAGATTACTCTCGCATTTATGATAAATACCTGATAATTAAAGCCGCTGGTCGTTGATGTCGACTGTCCTTTCAACTGTTTGTTATTTGTTGTCGTGTCAGTCGTAGGGGATAAAATTTCGTCAGTTGTAATTCTCACAGTAGTTGATGGTAAGACTGTTGAAAATTTCTTAGAGACTGTTGAAGTTTTACCACCGGTTGAAATCGTTGCAGATGATGTTGTTAAAACCTTATGGTCTGTTGAAGTTGGTAATACTGTTGAAGTAATACCATCCATTGTTGTCGGTAATATTGTTGAAGTTTTACTCTCAGTTTTAGTGCTAAATGTGGTTGATGTCTCCCTTAAAATTGTCGTAATCTGTTGCGTTGTTGTTTCATCAACTATAGATGTAGTTTTTGCTTCTGTTGTTTGAAGTGTTGATTCTGTATTGGGAACAGTTGAAATTGTAGTTTCTTCAGTTGTTCGTAATGTTGTCTCTGTAGTGGGAACGGTTGAAACTGTTGTCTTTTCAGTTGTTCGTAACGTTGTTTCTGTAGTGGGTACAGTTGAAACTGTTGTCTCTTCAGTTGTTTGTAACGTTGATTCTGTAGTTGGAACAGTTGAAATTGTAGTTTCTTCAGTTGTTCGTAATGTTGTCTCTGTAGTGGGTACAGTTGAAACTGTTGTCTCTTCAGTTGTTTGTAACGTTGATTCTGTAGTTGGAACAGTTGAAACTGTTGTCTCTTCAGTTGTTCGTAACGTTGTCTCTGTAGTGGGTACAGTTGAAACTGTTGTCTGCTCTGTCGTTACCCTTGTTGACGGGTTGACGGTTGTAGTTTGAACTTTTGTTGTCGTCTGTTCCATCGTCAATGAAATACCTAGTTCGAACATACATTTAGTCATTGAAAGTTAATCTTCATAAGTTTGAAAAAAAAATACATCATGGTTTAATGTTTGTTGCGATTATACAGTGATTATCATTTTACTCGTTCATTAATATTGACCTTTCAACATTGTGTAACATTGGACGTCAATAAATCATCTTTTGTGTGTCATTATGTACATAGCTATACAATCTATATATATACACAGTAGACGGGATATAATAGGTAAAAGGAAAGCGTTTTAATCTATATAAAATATGTAACTACCTCCTGGTGGGGCTACTCCTATAGGTGAACATGAAACAGTTGAAACTCCTTCCCACATCATAGTTGCAGTACCATAAGGATATAGTGTGTCTTCTCCTGTTCTGTAATTTAGTTAAAAATACCGAAATATAATCAGAATGTAATAGTAAAGCTACCTTTAAAGCAATCATACCTGTATGATGAAGCTGCACATAAAGGATAACCAACTCTCCAAGCAGAATTATAATAGTACATATAATAAAATCCTAAACTCCAAACAGATTTTCCAGAACAAGTACTAACCGATTTTGCATACGTTCCACTGGTATGATCTTGCTCTGGATCTCTATAATAAACAGGATCACATTCTGGATAAACAGGATCTGGATATAGAATTAAGTTAAGAGTGAACATTTAAAAAAAAGTATTTGAAATCACAGAAATGAAATAGCAAAGTTAAAATGATGTAATTAATCTTTTCTGTAGACTTCATACTTTACACACGCAGGAGTTCTAGGAAAATTCAATCAGTTTAAATGTTGATCATTGTTTTATTCAAAAAGAAATATAGAACGATAGATGGCATTTCGAGTTTTATATAAATCTCAGTTTATGACATCAATAAGAGACGCCCTCTGTCCTACTACATTTGTATCGACTATAAAGTTATACAGTGTCAAGTGTCGTGAACCAAATAGATAGATTTTATATAAAACTGAATTCAATATACAATATGTACAGTATTAAGAATTGTTATTAACTATTTTAACATTTGGTTCTTTGTATAAGAAGCGTTCCATGTGAATTATTTTTATGCGAATCGTTTCACTTCATTCATAATTTTTACAATAAAAAGGAAAATATAAAGGATAACATTTTCATTCTACGTGTAAGTGTGTAGTCGCTAAAAGAGTGCTCATCTTTATTTCGCCATTTTTCTCAAAGCTTTAAATGTCTTAAACAATCGTAAATGCTAATAGTTAATAGTATTCAAAGATTTTTGTGCCAGCTGTACCGTTCTGAAAAAAGATTCAAGAGGTGCAATCTTTTTTGATTTATTAACTGAAACAATGAAGCGGCAGATGGCAGCATCGAGTTTTCTATAAATCTCTCAAAAGTGGTATCAAATTTTTACGCCCCCATTCTATGCCTCTTTAGTGAGAAAACTCCAGATGGCAGTCAAGTCAGCGTCAATAAGTCATATGGAGGTTAAAACTATACTTTTCAACCAAATAAGCCAATAAATCATTTTTTAGTAAAAAAAAATTTAAAGGGAAAATTATACATTTTACTTTTTCTTAATAAACAATTTCTCGACCATAGTTATATAGCAAATAATAGGAAGAGCATTTTGTGATTACTAATGAATTAAAAATCGGCCAATAGGCGTTGCGATAACAAATAATGACAAAAGGGGCACGATTGGTCGAGGAGGAATCGGAAGGTCTCTGGCGATATTTGTTTGAATGTAAAGAATAAAATCAGAAGCGATTTTCTCTATACATTCTGATGTGTAGACGATAACGAACGATCGAAACAGGATCGGAATACCACCGACATCTTATTTAAAAACCCGATCTTTTGATTGTTTGCCTTTATTCAGGAGGTAAATATTATTTTATGAAAAGGCGCGGCCAATAAATTCTACAACAGAACCTAGTAACCGGCTACGGATAGGAAACAGAAAAACAGATATTAATTAATTTTATCTATATATATCGAGGAATTAGTATGTTGTACAGATTAAACTGATTTTAATACCGGCTTCTACAACAATAATTAACTATCCATCTCCCCTTTTAGATTGTACTTGGTGTGTATAAATACTTTTACGTCATATATTTAATCTCTTCTTAGTGTGTAGTCACTAGAAGAGTGCTGATCTTCATTCGATCAACTCAACAATATCTCTATGTTTTAAAAGTAGGCGAACTATAGAATTGTTATTGTTTATGTCGTAGGCTACTATAAGTTTGAAAAACGATACTCTTATATCTGCGTAGTTGAACCATTTTCTTTAAACTTTGTCTCTCTCTCTCTGTTATTGAGATAAAAACAAAGGAATTACAAAGAAATTTCTACTTAAAAAAGAAAAATACAGAGAACTATTTCGTAATGTTTGGAATTTTTTTTTTCGTTTTTAATAGAGCCTGGGCCTTCAACTATTAATATTTTGCTTACTTAACGGAAATCTGACCTAGAATAATGACAGAATCTCTCAATCAATGCAATACTCTGGGTCTTCTGATTTATGTAATGCTCACTTGGGTCTGCTATCATATCGGTATGTAATTTAAAATACAGTTTTCAATTCTACTTCAATTACTGTATAACTGAATATTTTATATATTTAGTTCCTTCAATAACGGGTGTAGAAGCTGTATTTCCAAATCCCGATATGGACATACAAACTCTGAAAGACTTAGCTAATGGAAAATTGGGTATAAAAACAACCGATATAAAAGAAAAGGAAATAAATGTTACTGAGGGCCAAAGTGTTACGTTAAACTGCTCCTTGAAACTTTTACCTGATTCAAGCATGAATGGCGTACCTATGTGGATGGAATCGAACATGAATTCAATTATTGCTCATAATCGAACAATTGACTTTTTGAATAGAGGTAGAATGGAGATACGTGGAAATCATTCTCTTCTTCAATATAATCTTCATATAAAGAGAACTATTTTTCCAAATGATAATGGTATTTGGTATTGCACGACTTTTAGCGGCACAAGATCTTCTATAAAAGTGAATGTACACGTTCCACCGGCAGTTAAGGTACCAAATCTCTTTCCGAGACATGGCAAAGTTACTAATCCAAGTCTAGTTCGAAGTTTTACTTGTTCAGCTCCATATGCAATGCCTCCAGTCATGTTACGATGGGAGGCCACATCAGCAGACACTCCAAATGACTCATATGTTCCCATTCCAATGGATGCATTTGCCAAGTCCGATTATACAATGGCCTCTGTTACCCACCTGTTTGTCACTTCAAAAGCTAACAATTCCCGATTCCGTTGCGTAGCTACCCACCCAACTTTCAATGGCAAGAAACATGTTTCAGCATTACATTTCGTTCTGGATGTACGTCCAGAAGATATGCCTGAAATACCTGACCAAGACGATATCTTCCCTGAACTAAGTGGCTTGCATCCACGCGATGTTCCTCTGGTTATTTTTGGAGCGATTATGGGGGGAGTTTTTGTCGTAGCTCTAGTTTGTTTTGCAAGCCAAAGAAAAAACTTAGAATTGGACGGTAAGTGCAAAAAAAAAGAAAAGCAAATTGTTTATTTTAAGCCTAAACTTTTGCATTTGGCATCTTTGCATGTGTTTTTTTATGCTTATTGCAGTTCATATCCCTTCGAGGGAAGAGGAGAAATCTGTTAAAGTGCATGTAACTGAAACGAATCATAACATAAATGAGAATCATTGCAATAAAAAGAATGGGTATACCAAAGGAAAGAATGGCTTTAATCATAATATAGACTATAATAAAACAGTTACTGCTGATGATAATGATAATAAAAATTTGACAGAAAAATTGGTGGAGAAAAAGGGTAAAGGAAAAAAAAGATGATGCTCCAATTGCTTAGAAATTAATGTTCATTTTTAATCACTCAGAAACGTCAGAGACGCGCTTGTATCCGCAAAAGAGGGAATCTCCAAGACGCCATGTCGTATTCCAGATGATTATTATTACTGTATTACTCTTTGTACTATTTATCGCCCAGAGCTTACAGTTACCTTTTTACATTCGTGGGAGGATACCGACAATAATATGTAAGACGGCTAATTAAGTTGCTATTTAAATTATATTAATCGCTTTATTATTATTATAAATATCCTAGCTGTCAAGCAGTTTTTGACCGCCACTGCTGGTTCCGTTTTATGGTTGGATTGTACAGATTTATTGGAGAACTCGACTGATGGTTTATTACAAGTCTCGTGGCGTCATAATTTCCAGCCTATATATGTTCAGTTCTCTTCAAGCTTTACTAAAGGCGGTTTTTCTGCGCCATCGCCAGCCGGAAGACGTTTTGCAAACAGTATTCGACATCAGCGATTAGGTGCCATTTCCCTGCACCCAACAATTGTTAATCATACAGGTGTATTCTCTTGCGAAGTAGCCAGACTTGTTGAAGATGACGGCGAAACTGTTGTACTACTTAAAACAATGGCTGCCTACATTGGTAAATATAATATATACATATCAGAATATATCGTTAATTACTTATTTCTGTCGCAGTTGACAGTGAATTGCCTCATAACTTGCCTCTCCTAACTTGCATTCTTGTTGGCGTTGGTGCAACGTTTGGTCTGATTGCTCTGGCTTTAACTTACACACTAAGATTTAGAACAACTGACAAAGTAGCAAGTAATTATTTCTTATATAATATTCATCATTACAATCTAAAATAAACCGAATTTATAGGTGGAAAGCTTGAAGAAGAAAATGATGATGTAGCAGATCGAAGCAGAGCTCTTGAACCAGAACGTAACGTTTGAACATAATATATACGATGCGAGCTTGATGGTTTTATATTTCAAAAGATATTCCATTTTATTCTGTTCTAAACGAATAATAATGATGAGACCTCAACTTGGATGCTTTCTAGTCGCTATAATCGACTTTTATCTGTGTTTTATTTATTGTTTTTTTTTTTCATTTTAAAGCTTGGTTTTACATTTTAAAAGGCATTAAAAAGAAATCATTCCAAGAGTAGAAAATATTGGATCTTTAAAAGATACTTTTTAGCATTTCTGAAGAAGAGAATTTTTGATTGAATGAGAAATGTGTTTTTTTTTACAGCGGTGCTGTTTTTATTATAAGATAATTGTTATAATTTAGTTTATTAATAGACTAAATATTATTTGTTGCAATTATTATGTACACACTAATAATTACTCAGTTACCGAGTTTTTGCAATTGGTCCTCAATGTTATCCAATTGTTCGAGAACGTTGTGCATGGCCTTGCCATCAATCTCTACCCGTAACGTTTCTTTCTGTATAGGAAATGAACAATTTTTTGGCTTAATTTTATGAAATAATTTTGAAATAAAAATAAATTTTCAGAGTGAATTATGAAATGTGTTTATTTCTTTTTTACCTGATTATTATCAGATTTTGTATCAAATTGTAGGACTGCCACTGGCTGATTTATTATTTTTGTTGAACTATATGAGTTTATATCTAATTTCCATTTGGTTAAACCATTCCAATTAGTGCGAGAAATTATCTGTGAATGTATTTTCTCTTTGTGGTTTCGCCAGAATTTTAAGACAACCTCCACACGGTCTGATGTTATAACGCCCCCCCTTTTTTTTGCTTGAGCTTTAAGAAACGTTTCTGCCTGGTCCTGATCCATATTTGTATTAGCCATGCTCTGAATTTTCAAAGGAGTTGTTAAAGAAATTATACGACTAAAGGGACAAAACTTACGTTCACAATACCCCTTAATTTCCTAATAAAATCGTCAAATTCTTTTCGATCTAAATTTTGATATAACTGCTCATATAAGAAATCATCATTATATTCCTCTTGACCCTGGTAATCTCTCTTAAAAATACCATTTAGCAAGCCTTGTAATTTCTTCTCCTCCCCTATATCGTCCATTTTTTAGGACCAACCACTGGCGACATCTCGCGGTAAGAATCATAATTAATACGTTTCTGATTTATTGTATATTTATTCCAAATATCTAAGATAATCTACCTCATTAATCGTCCATGTTCCTATATGGGGAATAGTTTGTGTGAGAAATGGAAAAATTATCATCTACATCTTTTTAAGGCTAGAAAAACTACGGTATAAATGATTAATAGAGGAAATTTAGAATCATTTGTTGGCATCTGTTTAATGCTGGTCAAAGAAGGAACCAGATTGTATCGATCTTCCACAGCAAACTATAATATATATTATTGACATTGTCAGCAACCCCCATAAGGTCATTTCCCCTCTCCCACTTCCACCTTTCCCTGCTGAGTCAGGTCAACGACTTATCTATCCATAAAATACAGCTGATCGTTCAACGTAAGAACAAGAAAAAGGAAAGTAAAACGGAAGTGCATAAAATATTCTTCCGTTATCGGTTATAAACAGCACGAGTGAAAACTACCCTAGTCTCCTACAAAGCATTATTTATTTTAGCGTAAACTTACCGACAGATACAACGCCACAGTAACTAACTAATCAATAGTGTAGGACCGTTAAATACGAAGGGCGTCGTTTGTAAGAGTTTCTACTCTATTTGGCTTTTCCAAGTTTTCTCCAACAAATTAATTGATTTTTTCTGTTTTTTTTTTTTTATAGTTTATTTTAATGCTTAGAGCCAGTTAAAAATTCTACAACTTCAAGTGCATCAATCCCTTTTAAATGATGGAAGAAATGGTTAGAATAAAATATTAATTATATGGACCAATGAATAGATTATGCCTAACTCTGATCAATGATACATATATATATATATATAAGGACAACTCTCTTATCTAGCGTGTTATTGTTAGAATTATCATATTATATCATATCATTTAAATTGCTTAATTTTGAGAAATATAGAGTCTATCTTTAATAACGGGTTTCCCTTTCTTTTTCTTTGTCCTTTTTCAAATGACGTGATACCAACGCTGACACTCCTACAACTATAGCACAACCGACGGCACCACCAACAATCAAACCCGACTGAATCGTTTCTGCTTCTTTAAGAATTTGATTTCCACCTGGGTCATCCTTATTTATTTTTTGTCGAACTTCATTTGAACAATTAGTACTAAAAAGTTTGTAAATTTCGTTTGTGGGTTGTAAAAGTTCGTCTATTTTAGATAAGGCTTTTTGTTTCCAGTTAGGCTCATTTCGGGTATATAAATATTGAATTCCAGCGGTTTTTACATCTGTAGGCTTATCGGACATGATATTTACTTTAATCTGGGCTCTTGACCCAATGATTCCTAATATATAATCAGCTGGTCCATAATCCAGTGTGTACCTCCATTTATCATCAATAAAAACAGCAAATCCAACATGTCTGACACCCCTAGTAGTTCGATAAACTTTAATTTCAATACGTTTTTCACTATCTTCAACTTCTCTTCGTAAAAGACGATAATTACTCATATTGTGTGGCAAATCTCAAACTTGGTCTGTAAATCAAGACAGAATACTTCTCAGTTTCAATTATAATTCAATTGTTGTAGAGGGCAGTAGCGAATATTGTGAGTCATTTAGACTACTAAAGACTGCATAGTTTGGATTGTTTAGATTTACTTTGTTTCGAAAAGCCTATATGACCTTGAGGGTAGTTAATACATTATTATCGATTTGTTAATTGAAGAATATAAATACTATACATTTATATAGTTTCGTTTTAATTATATCAAATTTTTTTTGTATTGGCTACAAGGAACTTAGATAATTTATCATTAATCGTTGGTATTTATGTAGAGGATCAATTTTCATTCCAACCACCTTAGCCTCCTCATCCCATCCTCTCATTTTTAGAATAGAGTTAAATTTTGGATGCTTTTCGAATTCTTCCGCTTCTGGACCAGTCATCTTGCCGCCTTGATGCTCTAATGTCATTTTGCTTGCGTCTGATAATTCTATAAAGAAAAATTATCGATATATTTATAGATTTCTTTCAAAAAAGAAAGAATAATGAAAATATTTAATTATCTATAAACTGACTTTTGAAATATGTCATATTTTTATAGCAGAGATAACGTTTTGCGTTCACATGATGTCTAATTATTGATGTAAAGCTGTTAGTTAGGCCTAAGTTCTCCAGGAAATCCGCTCCGATTTCTTCGTGACGTTTTGCTCCCAGTCGAATTTCGCCAGTAATCATCGGTTTGAAATTCGAATCGTCCTGACCAATCAAATGACCAATGTCGTGTAAAAAGGCCGCTAATATCGTCTATGGAAGTCAACAAATGCTATTTCAATAAATTATTGATAAAAGAGAAAGTTGAAAAAAGCAAGGAAGAAAGAAAAAGAAAAAGAGAGAAAAGACTTGCTTCATCCGATTCCCCAGCTTTTTCGGCTAACATTGCGCATTGCGTTGCATGTTCTATTTGAGTTACTTTTTCACCAATATAATTCTCTGTGCCATATTTTTCGTAGAGGCCAAATATGTTAGCTACTTTTTCTTCAGTAGATGTCATAATGGAAATGTAGAATGTTATATTAAGGCCAACGGCGTTGACAGATGATAATAGAAAATTGATAACGCCACCTATTATTGGAACGTAAAATTCACGTGACATCCCACGTGTCATTGTTTCTTATCAGAATCAGTTTTACGTTATTCACATATTCAAGGCCGAATCTTTCTAAGCGTATGTAATTACATACTGTGATTGTTTTATTTTCCCTTTCTTTTCTGCAAAAGAATTTTTTCAATTACAATCAGTGCCGTCTTTGTGCTATAGTTTCTACCTTATTTCGCAGTGTATCTTTAATTCGTTAATTAAAGTTTGAGCTATTATTTGGTATGTTAAAATTGTCATTAATTGTTTTCAAGTTTAAAATATTAAACATTATATAATCCATCTAGAACATGAAGTCCAGACAGGTATATTTCTGCCTTAGAGTTTACAGGCAGCATGCTTTTAAATTTGTAGGACAAGAGTTTGATCTGCTTATAGATGATAATACGCAGTTAACAGATAAATTTGACCAGCTCTTGAGCCAGAAATGATAATTCGATATGCTTTTTTTATAAGGGGTATGGTGCTACTGAAAAATTCCTCGGAAATGTTATTAAAAAACCTAATTACTTTTTGTTTGATCTGACATATCTACCAATTTTTAACGTGTCCTAGTTGTGAAAACTGATCATTCGTCCAACTTTGAAACATTATCGATTTCATAGATACTATTTTTAGTTAAACGAGTAAATGATGTTATACATGCATATATATGCATAACATCAATTACACAGCATTACAATATATATAAACAACTAATTCCAGTCAATGAGTTTCGACTTCAGTGCAACCCTAAAGGATTCCGACGGAAATGTTACTTGGGCTAGACCGGATCTTCCTCAAAAGTTCGTAATCGCTTTATATGACATGTAAATAGATAAGATAAAAAGTCATTCATATCACGCAGATGTACTTTCGAGTTAGGAAATTCTTTGAAAGATTCTCCACATATTCATAAAAAATGGTTAGTGTTTTTAAACATGATGATTATCTTTTCATCTCATGAATTTATCTAATTTTTAGTGAAAGAAATATCAAGATTCTCCCAAACATTTTGAATGCTATCGGGAATACGCCGCTCGTAAAGGTCAACTCAATAGGAAACAGTTTGGGCATTCAATGCGATTTGCGTAAGTTGATTACATTCTTTAAGTGAACAATCTTAATTATTGGAAATTTTACGCTTAAGTTGCCAAATGTGAATTTTTCAACGCTGGAGGGTCGGTCAAGGACAGAATTGCTTTAAGAATGATACAAGATGCTGAAGCAAAGTGTAGGATAAAGCCCGGTGATACGCTTATCGAGGCGACTTCCGGTAACACCGGAATTGGATTAGCTTTGGCTTGTGCTGTAAAGGGCTACAGATGTGTTATTGTTATGCCGGAGAAGATGAGCATGGAGAAGGTGAACGTGTTAAGAGCCTTGGGTGCTGAAATCGTCAGAACCCCGACATCAGCTTCATTTGATTCTCCTGAATCACATGTAAGCGTTGCGAAAAAGTTGTTAGATGAGATCCCGAACAGCCATATATTGGATCAATACAGAAATGAAAGTAATCCTCTGGCGCATTTCGATGGAACAGCACAAGAGATATTGGATGCTTGCGATAGTCAGTTTACTTTTATTGCTAGTTTTCTCATCATTCTATTTATTTATTTTATAGACAAGGTCGACCTAGTGGTTTGTGGCGCTGGAACTGGGGGACAAATTACTGGAATTTGTCGAAAAATTAAAATGGTTTGTCCTAATGCGAAGGTGGTTGGTGTTGATCCATTTGGATCGATTCTTGCTGAACCTGAAGAACTGAACAAGACAGAAATAACTGGGTACGAAATAGAGGGTATAGGATATGATTTCATTCCAACGGTTTTGGATCGTTCTGTAAGTTATTTTTTTCTAAAAATTGATATAATACTCATTAGGAACACAATATTTTATCCCTTTTCCATAAAAAGTTGGTTGATAAGTGGTACAAATCTGTGGATAAAGAATCTTTCCTTATGTGTCGCCGATTGATTAAAGAGGAGGGATTATTATGCGGTGGTAGCTCAGGCGCCATAATGGCTTCTGCTCTTAAAGCTATTCAACATTACAAATTGGGGAAAGGCCAAAGATGCGTAGTTATTTTACCTGATTCATTGCGTAATTACATGTCCAAGTTTTTGGCTGACGAATGGATGGCGGAAAGAGGTTTTATTGAGGAACAATTAGAAGATGACGCAAAGAAATCCTGGTGGGCTGATCTAAAAGTAACTCAATTAAATTTAGATGCGGCTGTCACGGTTCACCCGGACGTGTCATTGGAAGAAACATTACAAATCCTAAACAGAGACGGCTTTGACCAAATGCCTGTTGTTGATGATGCTGGAGAGGTTATGGGAATGGTAACACTTGGCCACATCCATTCTTTAATGGTAAAGGGGAAAGTTAAGGCTAGCGAACCCGTTCACAAAGCTCTATTCAGGCAATTTAAGACGATCAATATCAGTTCTTCTCTTTACAATCTTTCTAGAATGCTGGACACGGATCATTTCGTCGTTGTTGTTCACGATCAACGCTTTTGTAAGTTTTTATATCTCTTAAGAAATTATTATCTGATAACGACTTCCTCATTCCAACAGATAAATCATGCGGAAGCCAAGTTAAGAAATCAATGATCTATGGAATAGCAACTCGTATCGATTTACTTAATTTCATCCTGAGCGGACAAAAAAATGTCTAAATGTTTTTTTGTTGACGAATAAACGTGCAATAACAGAAATATAATTTTTATTATTCCTTGCGCAATAGACGTCGCTACCGGTAAATTAAAACGTAGATGGCGCTGTAGGCGACTGGCGACAAATTGCAGTTGGCTAGTGAATCTGTTTGCAGTCGAATGGCGACATGGCTGGAGCTAAACCAGGAGTACACATAAATCAATTGAAACCAATCAACGTACCCGAATCGTTAGTACAGGGTAACAAGTTCGTCAAGTGGGACGATGTAAGTATAAGGAAGAAGGCGTAAACAATTGAGCGATAATCGAGTGTTTATTAAGAACGCCAGTTTTTCCAGCCATACAAAGAGTTGCATCATTATCATATGCTTGATAATGAACAGCTCATTAATGTCTTACATCGCTTTGGATCAATCGAATGATTTGTCGTTTATAACATCTCATCCTTCTATTTCTCACCTTATCTTCCCTTTCTTTTCTCCTTCTCTGGTGCAGTCGTTGCTTCTAATTAGCCTTCTACGCTCGATTGTCATTCAGTGCGCCGTTCTAATTAATGATATTACCTTAATTGTGTGTGATTAAGCATAGTCCTTCACGTTTATCGCTTAGCAACCAACTCTTTATTAAAATACAGGATTCGACCGTCGGTACGCCGGTCACGCTCAAAATGGACCCGAAGGGCTATATTCTGTATTGGAAAGATCAAATGAAGGTTAGTTGAAGAAAAGTGTTTGTGACAATCTGCATTTGACAGCCTATGACTTTTAAGGCAGAACAGAAAATGTAATAAAAAAAAAGAACTATATACGTATTAAAAAATAGATAACTAAAGAGAAGAGTACAGGAGCGTGCACCTAGTGTTAATGATTATGCGTGACGTCTTTAGTCGACGCCTTTAAAAGACGTTTAACAAAGTCAACAGATAAAAATGTAGGGATTAAAACTATGTAATATAACTGGTGATCGCTGTTTACCGAAATGCTAGCGAAGCATTCAGTTGACGCCTTAGACGCTTATATTGTCACTCTTGTGCTTTGTTTATATATTTGACCGCATACCGGCGAATAAAACGGTCAATAACTATTGACCACCATTGTATATACGCTGATTTATTAAGACATCGGTCTTTTTCGCCATGTATATAGTATATGAGAACGAAAAAAAACTAATGATATTGTACTCTTTGCACTCGTCTATTATACAGCATAAGGTAAGACGTTTGTGTTTATTTACCACTCATAGGCTTTTTTTTTATTCTTCCCTTCTATTAACCTTTTCGGTTGCATTATTATGTTCGCATTGCCATCTACATACAATTATATAAATATATATCTATAAATGTATATGTATAGAGGAGTAGAGCATATACAATTTATATTTATATATTTATATAAATAGTACACACAATATATATATATATTGTTGGGCTTAAATAATATTTATATAATGATAATGATAATGTTGGTTGGTGATGAAATTTTTAGTTGTTGAAGTTGGAGTCAGAATAAAGACTCTTGGTGTGAGATTAGATTATTTCTGAGTGTAATCTAGCAATATATATATATATTTATATTATACATATGCATATTTATATACCTATATATATATATATATATATATATTTCAATGTGTATATATGACTATATATGTATACTTTTATATACATATATTTATATAAATGTATATATACAGATATATATTGTATATACACGTGTGTAAATTTGTTTAGGGTTATAGGGGTTCTTACTTGACTATAATCCTTGACAGGAAGCTGGATTTTTAGTTCTTTTTCAGTTGCTCGCCTTTTTTCGTGTTATCTATAGATCTAACCGCATGAATAAGGGGAAAATTGATATTTGCCTAGAATGTTTGTCAATTTACATAAAATTGAGATGAATGCGCCGGTAATAAGCGGGCGCGACATAGTAATGCAGTATAGTCTCTATAGACATAGACGGAGATAATACCGATATATATGTTGCAGTACGTAATAAAAATACTAATGGAAATCGTATGTAAAACGGGGCGGCTGAGGTGATAAAGAGAAGAGAGCGAATGCGGTTGGATTGGGCAAATTTTGACATTTAGCGGCGCAGAATCGGAAGCGAATGCCAATTAGTGCTCGTTGCCTACAATAGCGACCGATCTGATTATCATAAGCCTGTAACGTAAAAAACAAGAACCGGCATCCGTTAGACGTTTCTATGGCATCATTTCGTAAACGCTCGTCAACATCGCTTTCTAAATATAGTGTAAATTATACGCAATAACGAGCGGCTACGCACGCCGCACGTAAAGTATCGATTGATCTCCGCCGTTCGTGGATTTTTTCTTGATATAAATATTATGAAATTTTCGTATAGGAAATGGATTTTCTCGACGTATCGCTTATTCGCGATGGTCGAACAGGGAAGCATGCCAGATTGCCTAAGGATACTAAGTTACGGGATACAATCACTATGGGTTCAATGGATGTTCCGTTGGAAGAGAAGATGGTTACAATCTGTTATGGAACGGATTTAGTCAATGTGCAATTCATCAATTTCGCCGCTAATTCGCGGGACGTTGCCCGTGAATGGTGCGCAAATATTTTTAGCTATGCGACGAATTTAATTTCAGCTAACTTGGGACCTATGGCCAGTCTGGAAAAAGCGTATGCTAAACTGTATTACGTCACTAATGCCGATGGAAAGATTGCGGTTAAAAAGTTCGTTTATTTTCCTTATCTTGTATCTTTGAATAATTCTCGTTTTCCCTAGCATCATTCGGCTTTTCTCTCAGCATAAAGATGATAGAAAGAGGGTTGAAAAAGCTTTAGAAGCTGCCAATTTATCGTTCGGCAAAAACGATTCGATTGCGCCTGAAAATTTCTCTTTCGATGTCTTCTTGACCTTTTACAGGCATCTGTGTACAAGAAACGAAGTGGATAAGATATTTTATGAACTAGGAGCTAAACAGAAACCCTACTTGACCGCTGAACAGTTTAAGGAATTCCTGAACGCCGAGCAGCGTGATCCTCGACTGAACGAGATACTTTATCCCTACTTTGATATAAAAAGGGCGCAAGCCATTATTGATCAGTACGAACCGAATGGCAGCTTGGCTAGCAAAGGTATACGCTTTTATACGCGTCTAGTGGCGTTGTAGGCTTTCCGTTCAGGTGTATACGTGAGACTTTTTCCAGGCACTAGTTTTTTTTCTATTTTTTTCTTCCTTTTCGAAAATCACGCGATATAAAACTTGCTCTTTTTTCTTCTCTCCCTTACGGCGACAGAGTCGAAAGGTAACGTAAATGTTGCGAAAAGAACATGCATGCTAGAATATATACACACCATATTTTACATACCGTATTATGTACATAGCATTAATACCTATTGTTTTATTATGATTATTATTACTACCAAGATATTAATATTTATTATTATTAATATTATTATAATTATTGTTATAATTATTATCTCTATTACCGTCGTCATTATCCGCACCATGGCCATTTTAATAATTATCATTATTATTAGTAGTAATGTACGGTAGATTTCCTACGGGTCTTTCGTTTAACCGCATTAGCTAATGTACGTAATTTACACACAGACAAGACGTGCCTACGAGTTTGTTTGTCGAATTTATCGATTTCGTCCGGCAGGTCATTTAACTCAAGAAGGATTTCTACGCTATCTAATGTCGGAAGAAAACGCCCTGGTACCTCCCGAGAAATATGATCTAAGCCACGATATGGATCAGCCATTAGCCCATTACTTTATTAATTCGTCGCATAACACATACCTGACAGGTAAACGCTGCGCAAAAACGATCGATAAGCGCGCTTATATATATATATATATATATATATACATATATATATATTCTAGTATATAGAAAAATATATGTATACTGTATATATATATATATAACAATATATTTATGTATTAGTATATATTCAGATATTTATAATATACATTACATATATCGCATACAAAAAATATATATTTAAATATATAGATATATATGTATATTATAAAGAAACATATAGACAGTATGGAATAATATGTAGATGTATTATTTATATATTTGCATATAATGAACAAACGCATATCAACATATATTTCCAACATATTTTTAGTATACTCATGTATGTTGATGATTGCGTGTAAATTTAATGTTTTATAAATACTGCAAATATATCAATTACAAGACAGAATGTAGCATACTGTATTTATGTATCATCTATAAAATCAAGAAATAGTTTTTATTTTCATTAGCTTATCAATGTATTAACATTCGCAGGCCATCAATTAACTGGACGATCTTCAGTTGAAATGTACAGACAGACGTTATTGACCGGTTGCAGGTGCATCGAATTGGATTGCTGGGACGGTAAAGGTGCTGACGAAGAACCAATAATAACTCACGGCTATACAATGTGTACGGAAATCTCCTTCAAAGAGGTGATCGAAGCTATCGCAGAGAGCGCTTTTAAAGTGTCCGATTATCCCGTCATTTTATCCTTCGAGAACCACTGCTCTCCGAGACAACAAGCAAAAATGGCCGCTCATTGTAGGAATATATTCGGAGATATGCTCTTGGTTGATGCATTAGATTCGCATCCGGTAAGTTTGTTTTTAGAATAACATTTGAACCATATAATGAACTATCTGTAATAGACACGAGCGCTACTAGGCAGATCACGATTTTTTCCCTTTTTTAAAAACGTTGCTTAATCTCTAGTTGCAATTGGCCATTGAACTGCCGAGCGTTAATTTATTGAAAAGGAAAATCGTAGTTAAGAACAAGAAGCGGCATTCACATAAAAAGCGTGAGTAGAAAAAAAAAAAAAAACAAAAAAATGACTGATTCCGACAGACGGCTTTGGCATGCGTGGCAACATAGTTGACTCTCTCCGCTATTATATTCTAATGATTCTCATTCTTTATTTGTTTGTTGGTTTGTTTTTTCTCTTAAAAGCAAGAAACAAAAAATTTGACAGTTTTGTCGCTACTTTCTCTTTCACTGTTTTCTGCTTTTTTTATTCTTACCAGCTAAAGCACGCTTCTGGCTTACCCAGTCCTGAGCTTCTCAAACGGAAAATTCTAATCAAGATTAAGAGAAAGCATAAACATCGCGTGCGTAAGTAGCGCGACTCTTGAGTTCGAATTTTTCGTTTTTATTTTCTCCTTAATTTCCCACTCCTTTTGCTAAATTCCCGTCATACCATTATACACCTTTCATATTCAATTATTATTTATTTATTTATTATTAATTTCTGTTATTTTCCTTTCTTTTTATTTTTATTTATTTATTTTTTTGGCCGTTTGGCAATTGAGTTATTTTTGTTTTTTTTCCCATAATCCAACCCGCCTTACTATCCTAGCAGAGAATATGTTTGCCGATAATTGAATGTTTGCAGCCAAGCCAAAATCGAAAGATTCGTCGAACGCGGCAGCTACCCAACAAAGCGCTATCTCGACAGCGACCGAAGCGACGTCAGCGGAGACGTCAGATGGCGTTGCACCAACCGAAGTGGACGCTGGCGACGGTTCGGAATCCGATACGTCGATGGAAGATAGTGATGAAGATGACGATGTAACGGGTTTAACAGAAGAGGAGGAGAAGAGAAGGATGAAGGAAAAGAAGGAGAGGGTTGGTATTGTGATTTCTATTTTCTTTTATTGAAATAATCATAATAATAATGACATAATTATTTTAGTGAAAGTACTCATATTTTTTATGTATTTACTTACTTCATTACCTTTTAAATTAACGTTTGCCCCTGTCCACCTTTTCCACTCGTGATTCGCGCAGGATTTGAACGACTGCCCCCAGCCACAAAAAGTAGCAACGGAAAACGATATTGAGCAGCTGCGAAAGTCGCGTAAAATATCAAAAGTTCGGGTGAGACGACGAGTGATATCTAACTTCTTTAGTTGCTTCGTCACTTTCCGCCTTTTTTGACCTTGGTCTAAATATGAATTAGCAAAAACGATTATTTTTGGTTGCACTTTGCTCTTTTTTGCTGCTCGGGTGAATTTTTTATAAATAAAAAAGAAGCAGGCTCTTTTAATCGCTTTTTTTTCTTCTAATTTCTTGGAGAGTTCTATTCTAACACCTTCGCTAACAAATGATTCTAACAGAACAAAAATTTAAAATAAATTACAGGGTACAGCCGGACAAGAAGCTGAAGCCGGTATGGAAATGTCGGAACTTGTTAATTATATACAACCGGTCCATTTTCATAGTTTCGAGTCAGCGGAAAGTAAGGCTTTTATTTCTCAATTATTATTTATATATAATGTACTCTAAAGCGTATTGTTACTAATTATAAGCGTATTAGTATATCACTACTGTATATATTTTAATGCTATTTAATATTTTAATTGTATCTAATACTTACTAATAATAAAGGCATACAATATTCTTGTTTATTTATATGAGAACCATGAAAGTATATTTTTACAGGTACAAAAAAAACTGGAAAAATAATTTCTCTTTTTCTCTCTTTCTTACAGAAAGAAATAGGAGCTACGAATGCTCTTCCTTCGTTGAAACGCAAGCGACTAATTTATTAAAAGAATTACCAGTAGAATTTGTCAAGTGCGTTTCCGTTTACGTACTCCAATCTCGATCGTATTGGATTTCTTTTGCAGCTACAATAAACGCCAGTTGAGCAGAATATACCCGAAAGGTACAAGAGTCGATTCGGGTAACTACCTGCCGCAAGTGTTTTGGAACGCCGGTTGTCAGTTCGTCGCCCTCAACTTTCAGACACTTGGTAAAAATCGAATAATAATACACAGAATATTTATCATAGGAGCAAAGAAAAAAATGCTCATAACAAACATAATCATATATAAACACATACTGTTGTGTATTTACACTCAATTATTATTAATTTATTCATTTGCAGATTTAGCAATGCAGTTGAATTTAGGCCTGTTCGAATATAATAATAGATCGGGATATATGCTAAAACCTGAATGCATGAGGCGTAAGGATAGACATTTCGACCCCTTCGCCGAGTCGACTGTTGACGGGATAGTCGCCAATACCGTTGAATTGAGAGTAATTTCCGGACAATTACTATCTGATAGGCGAGTTAGCACGTATGTGGAGGTAGATATGTACGGTATACCAGCAGATACAGTCAGAAAAAAATTTCGTACCAAAACTGTTCCAAATAATGGCATTAATCCAATTTACGGTGAAGAAGCATTCGTCTTTAAAAAAGTCGTACTGCCTGCTCTTGCGATTCTTAGGATAGCCGTATTAGACGAGAATAACAGAACTCTTTTAGGTCATCGGGTACTTCCTGTCGACGGGCTGCGACCCGGTTATAGACATATCTGTTTGCGAAACGAATGCAATCAAAGGGGGAATATGGCCTCTCTGTTCGTCTATATCAACGTTCGAGATTACATTCCTGATTCGTTCGCCCGTAAGTAGTTTTTGTTAATTTTGTGAAGTGGTAGAAAAAAATAGAGTGAATTATTCTCAATCAGAGTTTGCTGCCGCTCTTGCGAATCCCATCGCTTATCAATCCAATATTGAGAAACACACTCAACAATTATCCGTCTTCGACGAATTCGACGTGGACGTAAGTGTCTATAATGAGGGTTAATTCTCTCGCGTATCTTTTTTTTTAGTTGGTTTTTGTTTACATTTAGTTTCTATTTTTTTTTCTTTTTCGCGAATAGGAGGAGGAAGTAAGTAGTAGTGTTGTTTCAATTTAATGTACTGTCTTGTCAAGATACAAGAAACGAAGGAAAGATATATTGTTTTTTGTTTTGTATTTGCCATTCGTATGAATATTTTACTTGCTTTCTGTAATCAAAAGTCCTTTCTTCCCTGTTACTTAAGCAGCAACAGGATGTAAACGGTGACGATAAAGAAGATTCCATTAGGAGGGATAGAAATCAAAGTGTTATTTCTAAATCATCTGATGGTCCTCCCATATCCAGAGGGGGCAGTCAGCATGGTCAACGTCCTCACATGGATAAACAACAAAGTACGGTGTCTACCAACAGTCAGCAAGCAGCTTCCGGTAAGTAATTTGTAAGAGGGTGCAACCACTCTCTTTTATAACATTGGATTTAATACAAATTACAATTCGGGGACGAGTCGGTAAACAAATAATATGCAGGTCCACCACCTCCAATGTCGAGAATGACGTCATCTGTTTCGAATGTAATGGAAAGCGTCAGCGCGAAATTGAATGGTAACGCGTCTTTTGTGTACATTGTATTCGGTGTATACAGCACGCTTTAGCGACGTCTATTCTTCCTGTAGACTTTTCGTGACTCGTGCCGATGAAATTTTTATTGTCCGCTGTCAAAGCTTTCGTCCCTTATTTTTTGCATGACACTTGTCTTTTTCTGTGATTTCTCTTTTCTTAGCTGGAGCAGCATCGAAAATCTCCAGTCTTCCTAATAGCCCACATCATCAAGGTGAAAATGGTGGCGTAAAACAACCAAAGACGTCCAACAAAATAGACGTGATAAAAATCACGAGACTGAAAAGTGAGTTTTCAGTTGAAAGACTTATCATCAAATCAAACAAATCATATATCATATAGATAAATATTAGATATATATACACATATATCATATCTTTATCTTTATTATATGGATATAATTTAATCTAATTACGCTTGCTAGTTAATAAATCTATTTTAGAAAGCAAAAGTCTATCAAAACAATACCTATGAAAAAAATTAACAAAATAGCTTTGGTAAACAAAATTTTTCTTTTTTCATCTGAGGAGTAGGATAAATTCACTTTCTTGTCAAGTCTTCTTTTATGCTATTGCTAATTGTGCTTTTCATTCGGTCGCAAGCGCTTTGTTAATTAAATTATGTTTATTATACAATATGATTCACTATTAATTTGATCCTTTAGACGCCGAGGTTGTTCCGGTAATAACAATAGAAACTCTTCAAGAGTGCAGGAATTATAGCCGAGTTGTGATGAAGCTAGAGAAGGATCTGGATAGTTTAAAGAAAAAACATGATAAAGCCAGAGCCTCGCTAATCGAAGTGCATCAATTACAAGAGGAGAAACTTCTTGTTAATCAAGTGAAGAATAAAAATGCTGTAGAAAAATTGCATAGAAAGGCCAGTCGAAGGGCTAGTAAAAAGGGTTTACATCCGAACGAAGGTATGGCGGAGAAGGCAAAAGGCGAATTGTCAGTATTAATGGAAAAGCAGGAGGAAGAAGTAGGCTAAGGTTTTAAATTTTTGAAATAAATTAATTTTGACATCTTGACAGCACCGTACTCTAAAGCAAACTCAGCAAGAAAGTCTTTTAGAACTGATAAAATGCCATCTAAACGAAAGAAAAGAACTTCAACTTCGTTATGTTCCAAATTTATTTGCAACCCTAGAGACTTTATGCGATAGTAAGTATGAAGAAATTAGAAAGAAATTGGACGATCTACATAATAAAGAGGTAAACGAACTAAAGAAAAGATTAGACGTACAAAGCCGAGAAGAAATGAAGAATTTAGTAAAGAAACATAAGGATAAAAATGAGCTAGCAAGGCAAGTATATCATTATTTTTAAATGAATAAAATCGATAATAAGAGTATTATATAACTGGTATTATTATTACTGGAGCAATTATTTTTGTTATTATTATTATTTTGTAACTTTTTATTATTCTTTTCAATGCCAGCATGGCTTTTTTCGGCATGAATCTTTTATTTGTTTTTCCCCGCATGTAACGAATTGTTGTAGCAGGGAGAAGAAGGCTAGGAAATACATGCACTACGTTAAAAAAGGAGAATTCCGAGATGAAGTACTCAGACAAGCGAAAAAGGAAGTTCAGGAGGTGCTCTTTTAAAACACTTCTCATTCGCCTGATGATTTTATTGTTGCAACTCTGTTTGCTAAACAAATCCTTCCCTCCCCCCCTCTTTTCCCTATTTCTTTCTCATCTCTCTTCATCCATCTCTATTTATCTATCTACCTCATTCTCTTATTTTCTTTTTTTTTTTACATTAATTTTTCTATTCGATAACTAAAAACTACTTTCGTAAAGCTAATCCTACACGCTGATCTCTATCTTATAGGGTGAAGCGAGAAGCCCAAACTAAACATATACAACTTGCCGTTCAAGAGAGGCAAAAGGTATGGTACCTTAACAAGATAAGAAAAAAAAACAAGAATAAAAAACAACATAAATATGAAATTGAAAAGATATGAATATAAAAAAATATAAAATACATAAATATAATATATATATATATATATATATATATATTTACTTACGTATGCATTTATAAATATATATATATATATATATATATATAACACAAAAAAACTAACTTTTTCGTTTCTTCTAACGCTTTGTTTTTTTTTCTCTTTATCCGTTTGACTAATTGCATTTATGATGGCTGAAAATATATTCCAGTTGAAAGATATGTTAGTAAAAAGACAAAGGGAAATGGATGAGAAACGGGAACAATTAAAATCAGCCTTACAAGATGAAAAGCGAAAGGTAAATAGGTCTATTTCTAATTGGATGATAGAAAACTTACATATATATAAATATATATACTGTATATATATATATATATATTTCTTTATTAAAAAAACTGCAACAAAGCAGAAATAGCTATTTATCATTATTTTTTATAGCGAGAGGAAGAGATTAATGAAGAATTTGATAGAGACTGGGAGAATGCTAGGCTGGAAGTGAGGAGAGAGCCATCAAATGCTGGTGCTTCGGAAGCAACAAATATGTGAGAAATGTCGTCATAATAAGTGCAAGCAGCAAACAAAAACTTGACTGTAGTCGTGTTCAATATTAAAAAACAAAAAAATTATTATGTTTAAAGCATTCCATTTTGGTGCTGCATGGCTGGCAAGTTGTAAATGTTTGTGTTGTTTAGAACGGTCTTCCCTCTTTCCGCTCTTTCAACACCTCTTCATTCCAGAACAAAGAGTAAATGAAGTTCAAGACCTGCACTCATTGCGCATCCTGCATACTTTTAGCCCGTTACTGATTGAGAAAACTTTGAATGTAGCCGTTGGGAGTGAATGCTTTTGCATTTACTATGCATTTATGTTTTCTATAAACTCTGAATACATGCAAAATGTACGTTTGTCTATTTTGTCTGAGTGTGTAAGAGTCTGACTGAGGCGAGGCTAATAATTTAAAAGGGGCTAGCCTGCAACATAAAATTGAATATTTTTTCAATTTAAGATATTGTGTTGTTATGTATTCAAGTTTTTTTGCCGATTTATGCGTATGAATAATTTAGTTAGATGAAAGAATAACATGATGATGATATATATAAATATATATATATATATATATATATATATATATATATATATATATATATATATATATATACAGTATATATATATATATAAAGCATGCGTATTACTAAGTTATTAAGTTTATATAGCTCAATATGAATTAATTCTCCTTTTCTATGAATACTATATTAACTTGATTCATTATTATTATCATCATTATCATATCAGTCTTGTGAATAAACATATTACGTATATTTATACAAATGTCTCTGATCGGAGGGAAAAGAAAAGTCATAGTAAGAGCCTTAATCAAAGTTAAAATTGTAGTAGAGTCAACACGCAAGCTATCAAACGGGTTAAATTCTTCCTTTCTTTTATACTAAGATTAATCACTCCTAGTTCAATATCCACTTCCAAAAAAAGAAATCCAAGCCAATTTATTTTCACAGAAGCTATAAACAAATCGTGAAAAAGTAAAACCATATATATATATATATCTACTGTATATACACAGTATGTATCATTAACATTACTCCCCTTCCATCTCCTCACATGATAAGCGTTATAGATTTTTCTACTAATTAACCAACATGTCGAAGAAATAATGACTCAGCATATTCTTAGATTGGGCGGTTGCACGATATGCAGCTTTACATTATATTTAAGTTTCTATACGTACATTTGATTTCATTTTTAACTAATTACATTACTTTTTGTTCTTACATTAATGCTCTTAGCTTCCGGTCCTGGAGCTATGGATAATCGGTTGATTATAATAGCTTTCTTTATCATTACGTATCCATCGGGGAACATCATTAGCAAGGCAATTAATAGCAGCTAACTTATAGTATATACTATAATGTATACATATGTAATTATCATAAATTTTTTCTTGGATATGTTCTAGTGTAAAATACAGTTGATATGAATTTGAACAGAAGGAAAATGATCGTTAGATAATGTAGGTTAATAAGTATGTTTCTCAGTAAAGCCGATAAAAAATGTTGATAATCCACATAAATGAGATATTTAAATGACAAAAAAAGCAAATAGAAAGGTAAAAAGATTATTTCTGTAGAGAAATGAGGAAAATAGACAAAAATAAATTAGATATCTGTATCCAATTCTTTAGATATTCAAATAATTTAAATATATGTTTTTGTTTTCTCTTCTATTCAGTTTATTTACAAACATCTGACTTTTTTCTTATTTATTAGTAGTTAATAAATTTTCAATTTCCTTCTTCGTCCTTTTGAAAAGTAAGATAAAATTTGATTAAATAAGAGAAAATCAGTTCATTAAACGTTTAATTAAGTTGGCAACAATCTATAAATTAGGCTATTGAAATACAACTCCATTATGGCTTATGCTAAATAGATTACACCTCCCCACATACTAACAGTAATATAGTATGCATACTATTAAAAGTCCATCTTTTTTCCAATTTACCATTTATTTTCCCCTGCGAATGATGTAAACAACGAAAGCGACATCAGAATACATACTAAAGTACACACCCATGTTTTAAAAATACAAGAACACAAGAGGGTGCGTTTCTTCTCTGCCAACTATAATTGAGGCGTTTCCCTCTAAAATTTCGATTTAGAAAGCTACATCTAGAGTAGGGTAGATGAATTGAAAAATAGATGCAAATTAGCTTGAATAATTTGTTATCAACCGAAAAGTATTGCATTTAGGTCGGTGTCACTTGGTTGGTTCTCATTCGAGAGGAATTAACCATTTTTTTATTAGGTAAAAAAAGGCATTGGGTGGGTTAGACACTTTTTTTTCTCGCGGCGTCTTTTTCTATGGCATAAATTTTTCCATATACATTTGCATTATTAAGAAAAAGACCTGAGTTCTAATCTCTTTTTCTTTCTCTTTCCTTTCTTTTCTTTTTTATTTCTTTCTTTCTCTCTCTCTCTCTCTCTTTCTTTCTTATACTTTTTTTTTCTTATTCTTCAATCCATTCCGTTCCTCTTTGTTATGGAAAAGTTAAGCAAAATGGAAAGAGTTTATAATCTGAATATTACACGCGATAGCTTAAAGGTTAACGATACTAAAAAATACAATCTAAACCAATACAGGAGTGGTAAATGGATATTTTACCCGCAAACGAAAATATAATGCAGAGTAATGCGTTTAAACGCTATATTTTCAGGTCAAATTAATATTCCAAGAAGAAAATGGCAAGGCAATATACTAGTACCTTTAATATATATATAAAGTTTGTTTATTTAAAATAGTTTATACGAAAATAGACGGCTTTTTTTTATATATTTTATTTTCTCATAACATTTTTCTTATATAATAAAAAAAACAAGAAAAAATCTTTTTTTTTCAACCAATTGGCGTAATGGGATATTATTTTGTGAATAGGCCTATTAATTACACGGTGATTCTTTTTTATGTAATAAGCTTTTTTCGTATAAAACAGCCGTTAGCGTCTTCTTTTTCAATTAATAAAATTAAGAAGGAGAAAAAGAAACGCTTTCATTCTATAAATCACTGGAAGGAGGAAGCTCTAAGTATTACATTTCTTGAGAAAAAGACATGCAATAAGGATATTTGATATATCATTAAGGTTTCTACCCTAAACGAATATTGTTCAATATCACAAACAATATAGCCTACATGCTTATACTGTATATATATATATATATATATATATATAAATGGCTACTCTGTACTTCTCAATAGAAGAGTTAACAGAGACAATTGAGAAGTGAAAGATAAAAAAATATCTAGATTGGATATGTTACTTTCCTTTAAAGAGACGCTTGGGGAAAAGATGGAATCGAGCTACATCTTAAAACAATTCGTTGACTAGAAACGCTCTATTCGGTAGGATTATTATTATTCGCAGAAAGCAGTTTTGTACTTTCGTTGTTAGCCTGATCAATTTAAAGTAATGATTTGTATTGTAGATATAAAGTGGCCAGAGAGGACACCCTGTTTTAAAAGGATATATAAAACATACCTAATTAGTTTTTTAATGAAGACGGATCGATTAGCTTTAACCAAAAAAATTTAAATGTATTCGACAAGGTCACTTCAGTTTGTTTTTCTGGTGTGTTTCATTGATTTTATTATGCAACAGTAAGTATTTTATGGAAATATATATAGAAAATAGAAATATGTCATTGAAAAACATAACGAAACAAAAATAGATACCTTCTTATTGTTTCTAGATTACTGCTCCTTCTTTCAGATCTAACATCTTATGCTGTTCCTGAATAGATTTAATTTTTGAAGTCTTGAAAATGGAACTAAATAACAACTTCGAATCGACTCTCTCTCTTTGCTCCGCAGTTGATAAAAAGAAACTAAATATATAGCCTAAGAAACAAGAGGCAAGACAGCCTATTAAGCTGTACCACAAAAAAGATAATTCATATATGAAATTAATGACAGGATGTATAGATTCTTTGTTCAATTGAACGGATTCTGTAAAATTAAGACCGACTTTACAGTTTGTTGTGGAATTGGGAAAATTTTCCATTGAAATTTGTCTAGGTTTAAAGAAATTAATTAGTGACAACGTTGCCATTAAACTAGTGGATAATAAACACGCGATTGTGACGCCAGCGGCCGTTGCTCGTCTTGTTGTAGCACCTAAAATGAAAACCCCAAGAGTCGGACCGGAAAAGGCACCGGTGATGCTTAACGATAACCGTAGTACGTGCTTTACACTGAAATTTGCCAAAAAGGCCGTCGATATGGCAAAGATGCCGTAGGCGATAACTAGAAATTTGCAGATGATGATCCTACGACGCTCAGTGACTTCTTTAAATATTGGTGCTAAAAAGTCTGTCCACGTAACCAAAGCCATTCCATTTAACAAAGTGGACAATGAACTCAATGATCCCGCAAAGAGAACGCTAAGAAAGATTCCAGATAATCCAGGGAGGACGAGTACATCATTAATGAAGAAGGGCAGGATTTGATTCGGGGATTGTATGTACTTTGCTCTTAAGGGGTCGCATCTCTTCTTTGCATAGAAAGCATATACTACAAGACCTGAGTAAGTTGTAAGAGCATTGAAAGCAATTAAAGCTGGAATATTACCAAATATGGATTTTCTTGCACTAGATAGTGAAGGTAATGCACTATAACGCTGAATAGTTCCCTGACCAATTCCAAAATTAGTTAATGTATGAAAAGTAGCTCCAATAGTCACTGAGTAAAACGTTAAACCAGGTTTTAAGGAAAAATCAAAGAAATCTAGACGACCCTTCTCCTTAGCTGTCTCCATGACGGTACGAATACCACCAGTCTGAAAGGTAGCGTATATTGATACGGCTAGTAGGCCACCGATAATAATAACCGCCTGTAGTGCATCTGTAATGACGACGCCTTTTATACCACCCAGTGTCGTGTAAATGGTCGACACAAGACCCGACACGATGATCGACGCCCAAAGGGGAAAGGCACTGACCGCTTCCATTGCTACTGCGGGAGAATATATGACCAAACCAGTGAAAAATATCTGCGGGATGCAATAAAAAGGTAATCTCATATAGTTTATAGTTGAAAACAGGAAGAATTTTTAAGCTGAATCGATTAGTTTTAAATTACCGCACATTGCTCATCAGAAAAGTAGCAGCTCCTAACCTTCTAACCATTTTTGACCCATATCGCATATCCAGATATTCGAAACAGCTAGTCAACTGCAACTTATAGAATAAAGGTACAAATAATAAGGCACTAATTGAACACGCGAAACAATAGCCGATAGTTCTCATAGTCAGTTGAACACCATGAACATAAACTTCAGCTGGTGTGCCAAGCACAGCAATACCAGAGACAAATGAAACTAGGATACTGAGAGTTACCGGTATTGTCTTTAACTTTCGATTACTTAGGAAAAATTCATCAATTGTTAACTGCTTCCCCCCAGTAAAAGCAGGATATAATCCAAGGCATATCGACAAGATAATCGATATTCCGAAAACAACATAATCAATTGAATTCAATTCCATAGTTTATTTGTGTGTGTTATAAAAGAGAAGGAAAGGTCCATGAGGTCGTACTCATTTGTGTAGATGGCGCCAATAGATGATTAACAAAATAATGATGTGGTCCTTATTCGGAACTGATGAAAAATTTCATTTCCTCAACGGAAATATTTTAATAAAAAATTTTTATAGTGCGCTCAATTTACTGTTGATTAGTCCATATAAATTATATATAGTATATATATATATATATCAGATCGTCATATTTCTCTCCCTCTCTCTTTCTCCCTCTCTCCCCCTTAAACATCATTATTTATATTCTTAAATATATTGTTAAAAATTTTTTTTTTAACGATTCTATTAATTATTTATTTGTTTTTATTTTTTTGCTTTAAGAAATACATGCTATTATATGTTAAGTGTAATATTTATTTTTTTGCATTTTAGGAAATTTGTATGTTGAAAAGAAGAAAAAAACAAAGTATATTAATAAAGGACAATTTGAGTGCGGACCTTTTTTTTTAAATAAAAAAACAGAAAAAAATACGAAGGTAGGCAGTTAGACTCAGCAAATTGATCTTGAAAAAACCAGAAACCCTCCTGTAATAGGTGTCATCATTAAATGGGGGAAAAAAGTGCTGCCATCTATTGCTAATAATAAACTATACAATTTATTAGTGTTTCTTTAACAATAATACTTAATAGTAATACTATTGAGAGTCAATATCGCAATATTTGCTACTTTGTTTTTTGTGTATATATAATTTCATCAATATATACGATGCTATAATAAAAAAGAGGAAAAAAAAAGCATATATTCAGGACATGTATACTTTATTTTTATTATATATTAAATATAATTTCGTTTTTATTGATATTCTTAGAAAATTATATATAAAGTAGAATAAGTGAAGGAATAAAAAAAGGAAAATGAAGAAAAAAAAACAGGAACAATTCGATAAATCAAGATTTATCTATCAAAAAAGATAAAGAACATTTTGTTGAATAATTTGATTAAAAATGGAAAGAAAATTAAAAAGAAAGAAAGAATTAATAAATAGCTGAGTGAAGTATGTTTATAGAAAAAAAAAAGAATATTCGTCCTTTCCCTCCCTCAAATGCAATTAATTTGTTACAGTATTATAGATTGTACAATATATAGTATATTGTTGTCTGTACAGTGGAGTATATATTAATATATACATTTATATTGAAATATTTAACACACTAAATGATGCTATGATGTAATTATTGAGAGAAAAAGAAAAGCACATATCAATTAGGTGAAAACTGTGAATTAGTAATCTATCAACATAAATGTCGACGTTTGACAATTAGTAATTTAATCCATTAGTAGTCGAGTCTCTCAAAGTCTTGATATCACGATACATCCTTCGGTAAACAATCGTCCATATACTATTGGTGTTGATATATAATTATGTTATGTGTAATGTCTATTAGGTCTTGCATATTTTTTATGTATTTATGCAAATAAGACTTTTTACTTATTGTTTTCCATTGTTGATTCTCTCTATCTATCTCATTTTCTTTGTCTTTCATTATTGGAAGCCTCTCTCTCTCTCTCTATCCCTTTATCTTCAAGAATAAATTTCTGCTACTAGAAAGGCTCATTAATCAAGTTTTTAATATGTACATAGCATTGTGATAATTCTAACATACTCTCTTCTAAAATGGCTTTAAATATATAGCATACATTTTTATATTCAGGGGAGATTAAACAAGTTAACGGCTCTGTAAACATCTAATAAAAGTCTATTTTTGAGTATAAAAGAGGAGGGGGAAGGAGAGACAAGTTCGTATGGAGCAGTTTTACAACGCCTGCGCACCAAAAGCGAGCATTGCAACTGCCAGAACATAGACAATCCACATCGGACAAACGCCAAGATTGTACGTAAATAAGAAGAGTAGTAGAAGCACTGCCAAACTGTAAGCGTATTTCTTATTGAAAGAAGGCCAATTGTCTTCCCTTTGCTGTTCAACTTTGATATTTTGTTCAATAAGTTCTTCGGTATACTTCCTCTTACGGATTGCTGATTTATTCGTCATTCGATTTATGAACAGATGAATATTAAAAAAACTGCAATGCGGGGCGTTGTGTTCTACTGACCCCTACGAAAATTTTCCGCAGTCGGTTCTGCATTACGTGCAGCGCATAGCCTAGAAACATTTTCTATTTACGGATTGGAATAAATTATAGACTGAAAATGGAAGAGCAGAGATCGAAAACTGCTTGGAGGTCGACTAAGAAAGGTAGAGGCCTATTAAATAGCAAAAAAATTAAAATAATTTTAATACGTATGTACTATATAATTGCTCTATTATACTGTAACATCGTAAACCGTATAAGGTAACAATTTTTATCCCTTCCCTTCATTCCTTGACGTCTTTATACAGATACCTTGGTATATCTACAGTATATCTATAGTATATTATATATATATATATATATATATATATATATATATATACTGCATTCGAGAAGGATTAGAGACGTAAAGTGATTTTATATTCTAGAAAAGCATCATATTTTGCCTATTATTCTACATAGTTTTGTTTAAAACTATCCTTTATTATAGTGAAAAATGGTGCAATGATAACAAAAATGAATGCTTAGGCCTATAACCATCATATCAATAATTAGTGCTTTTTATTAATTATTTTAGCACCAGAATTTAAAAAGAGATTGAGCTCTTCTGAAGAAGTGAAAGAAGGTCAAACTGTTGTTTTTTCCTGTAGTATTTCTGCTTTACCGTCTCCTAGGATTAATTGGTACAAGGACGAGGAAAGCCTGTCGGGAAGAGCAGGGTAATTTTTTATTTGCAGTTTTTACCGTATTGCGGTTCTGTATACTACTTGTAGTGCGATTTTTATATTTATTTGTGCTCCTTATCTTTTTAAGTTGGTAAATTTGCACTTGTTTTATAGTGTTTTGGCCTAAAAAATTGATTAATTCTGAAGGTGTGTTCTTTTTCCTCCGGAAATTTAGATATTTCACGTCCGAGGAGGACGACGGTACAACGCAAAATTTGGTTATACGAAACGCCTCAAAGAATCACGAAGGAACCTATAAATGTGTTGCTGAAAATACAGAAGGTGTCGCCACTAGTACAGGTTATTTGAGCGTTACAGGTGCGAACTAATCCTTTAATACTTTAGATAAGTTTATTGCCTTCAGTTTATTTCAGAGTTGTTAATAACTTTAGATTATTATGTTAGTGATAAAACCCATTTATTCCCAATGGGTTTTTCAACTTTATTAAACCATAATCATCCAACAAAATGTTATCATCCATAAAAATATCCACTTATAATATTTCTTTTAAAATAAGAAATGCTCTTTTGTAAAAGAAAACATAGTTCCCCGTCTCAAATAACACGATTTTATATAACACAAGATTTGAGTTGCTCACTAGCATAGCAATTAACAATAACTAATTGTAATAATAAAGTAAAATAAGAACAATTTTCCCTATCAATTATCAGTTCTATTGAGTAGATATCAATATATTCATGTTTTTCCTCTTACTCACCCGAAAGAAATGAATATACTGTTTAATATAGAAGTATTACGCAATATGACGAATAAAAACATAGAGTAGTAGGATTTATTTTATAAAATTTAAGCCTATTAGAAGATTTAGACTTGTAAACTTATTGATTTAGTATTAAATCTAAGTGTTATGAGTTTTGTTCACTTCTTTTCCTAATATTTTACATATTAATGCTAAATCGTATATACAGTATACTGTATATACAATATTCAAGTCAATAGGTTATAGATATAAATGAATAATTTATGCAAATTAGTTTAAATAGTAACATATTTTTCTATAAATTAACTTTTGATGAGAGTAGAAAGAGATATAGTTCAATGAAATTTTGTCCAATTATTTAATTTAAAATATAAAATATTGTCCTAGATAAAGGATTCATCAGATTAAATAAATTATCACTATGGTTGAAATACGAATAATATATTCCATTATGATTTTTAATGTATGTTATATATCGGCCAATTTCTTGCTTCATTGATTATATATAGAAATTTTTGTCTCCATTCGTATTTTACAGCACCTAGTAAAAGAGTGCTGTCGAGTAAATCAAGGGACGTACGAAATCCGGATCACGTAATTTCTTTACCTCCCAATCTACATGCTATTAGTGAACACTACAGTATGGAACAAGAATTACAAGGTATTATTACACTATTGATATTATTTACAGGCGGAAATTGAGGAATTGAGCTTTAAAAAGTTATTTATTATATTCTTTCTCCTTTTATAGATAATAATTCCGTTAATAATTCCAATAAAGAGATGGAGATGTTTGCCAATGACTTTTCTGAAGCTATATGGAATGACGTTGAAGATACAGTAGTCTCTAGGGCTGATGAAAAATCAAAAGATAATGAATTATCCCCGGAATTATCCAAATTGACTCAGGATCCCTGCGGTTCTAGAGAAGATAATAATGATCAAGAAAAATTCTCTAACGAGGCTCTTTTTGAAGAATTAATTAAACAAGAAAGTAAAAGCTCTTTGGTTCAGGATAAAACCCATTCGTCTACCCCATCTGAAGGGGATAGTACTGAGACTGATTGGCAAAAAGAAGAAATTCCTTGTGATTTTCAACAGGAAGGAGCTGTCAAGAATACCCAGGAAGATATCATTCCTCAAAAGCAACATACCGATGAGAACGAACTACTAGAGACAAGAGAGGAAATTGAAGAGAAGACCAGTGAATTTACAACTAAACTGTTATTAGAGGCAGCTAAGGACGAATGGAAAGAAGGTGAGAATCTTCTAGCTGAGAAAAAAGATAGTGTAAACTTGAAAGAAATTGCGAAGAACATAGTTATTGATGTTATTTCAAGCAGTCAAAAAGAGATATCTAAAAAACCCATTACGCAGAGTGTTTGGTCAGCTGAATTTCAGAAACAACTAAGAGAAAAAATCTTTTCCGTACCTGCTATACTATTTTTAACCTTAATCTTTGTTGCTGGAGTACTTGGTTCAATTTTTGAAATTGGAATTTTACCCTTTGCCTTTTGCGTTACAGTTGCCTTCCTTAGTATACTTTTCTCTTATCAATTTTTCACCAACTGTGATAATTGAACAATCTCAAATCAATTATATTTCTCTATTTAGTTGGATGAAAACGATTTGAATTGTTTTACGGTTTTTTTTCTTTTTTTTATGTTCTCTCCTTATTTCTACCAATATCAAATTTTAACGAGCTTGACAAACATTTATAAATGGAATTCGAACAAAAAAAAACTAGAACTAAATAAAATTTAGCTTTAGGGCAAAATGAATAAATTTATAGAATGATTTCGCATAAATAATACAATACTTTTACCGCTAAACTACAGTCTTATTCTACTTTATTTTTAAATAAGTTTTTCGATAGATTGATAGGGAAAGAAAGAAAATACAGTGGCTCCATCTTCAGTTTTAATTAATTATAAAAATTCTAATTTCGTTTAATACCAACCTCTTTATTTATTTATATTTTTTACAAGAAGTTTATTATTTTAGGGGAAAAGTTTACTCTAAGAATATTATTATAAATAAAGCCTATTTATTAACTAATAACCGAAAATTTATTATTCTAATATTTTAATATATAACGGTTGACTGAGGGAAACCTTCAATACTGTCGTAATTGAATTGTACCGCCACTCTTATTTTAACCCTCCAACGTCGGTTTACGATAGAGAAAATAAATAGAAATGGGGTTGGCAACAGAAGCGGGATAGAATGATGGGAATGAAAAGAGAGAGAGAGAGAGAGAGAAAGGAGGGGGGGGAAAGGTGAGCCACTGCTATTTTATTATTAATATATTTAGGTTAAGTCTTTGCTAAAAAGTGTAACTTTTGATTTTACGAAAAGAGAAGACTCATATATAAATCCAGGATAAACAGTAAAAAAGAATGAAGAATAGAAAAGTTTCACGTGTTTATCATATGGATAATAAAACAATTTTTTATTTCAAATTCTTATTGTTGTAGCCAAATAGTATTATCAATCGAAAGAAACTAAATACAATCATTAGATGAAAGAAATAAAAGTATATATATATATATATATAAAACAAGTTTGTCAAGCATTAAAAGCGTATACAGTTCGGTTTTTATTTTTGAAAAAGGAACATAAGATATTATATTGCATAGAAAAATTGGGCATGCAAATAATAATAAAAAGAAAGTATCCCATTTGCTTAAAATATTCATTTAAAGCGTCACATTCTTTCTTTTTTTATTACCTTAAAAACGTTATATTAAATAATCATTTTCTTTTAGTTATTAAAAAAATTTTTGACCAAGGAATTAATAAACAAAATTAAAAAAAGCAAACTTTTCCTCGATTCTTTCTCTTAAACGTTAAGAGGAATACGAGGAGAAAGTGAAATTAAGTAAGAGAGAAAGAGGAAGTAGGGAGGAGGATGGGTTGGGGCAGAGAAAGTAGAGAAAGATAGAGAGCACAGGAATGAATAAGTGCACTGCTTTTTCTTCGCATGCTTGCACACGTTTGTCAAAATTAATATTAAAAAAAAAAAAATGTGTTTTAAAAACAATCTCGTAAAAGAAACACTGACAAATAATACAAATAAACCTTTGCTTCTTTTCTCTTCTTTAGTCTGCACATTTTTAGTGCACAAATTCTTAACAAGTTACAATATCCTATACACACTTACACGCACACTTTAAATACATATTATGTATGTATATACTCTTAAAATATATATATATATATATACATACATATATATATAATAATCATGTTTTATAAGACTTTTCCGTTATTACGGATAATAAAAGTTATATATGAATACGTATGCAACATAAGCATGTTATATATATACTTATATTGTACACTTTCATATGCATATATATATATATATATATAGAAGTATATAGTAAAAAAAGTCAAATGAACGAAAAATTTTTCTCGTACGCGTAAAACTTATAGTAGTAAGCTACTTCTTCACATAACAAGTATTTGATTGATTGCAGATTACCAACTATATATTTATTTCGTCCTATTATCGCCTAATCAATTCCATCTTGATTGCTGTTGAGGTGAAAATGTGGTAGGATTCGGTCAAGTACTTTAAGATAAGTAAAAGAGTTAACTCAATTTACCTTCAATTATGTCTTGTTTCATTTTAGCTATTTCTTTTCTCATTTCGGTTAAAATTTCTTGTTTTAAGCCATCCAAATCAGTTGTTGAAGTATTTTCTGCTCCAGTAGCCATTGAGATATTTTCCTGACCAGTAAGAGACTGTAATCTATTGCTATTTTAATACAATAAAATCTGTTAACGTTTCATCAAACTCATTTTTCAAACAAGTTGAAGCTTACACTCTAGTGGGTTTTGGGCTTTCCGATCCATTCGTTTTAGACGCCGCATTAAGAGACGGTCTTCGAAAATTGGAAATATTGTTTGACGTTTGACTTATATCATCTGAACGGCCTTCTGCAATTTCCCTTCTCTTTTGCAATTTTTTCTGCATTTCGGATAACATATCTCCATGTCCAGCCGGTCCGCTTACTGGTTCAGATTTCTCCAAATTATTCGACGTTCCCTTATCATCAGGCTAAGGAGGATTTAAGTTATTAATTTTTTTTATCAGTTCAGAAACTGCTTCAAAACTGAAATTGCTAAAGTAAAGTACCTTTTTGACTTTACGCAGAGTGGCATTTTGTAGGGCCGCAGCAAGGGAAGGGGGCTCTGGGGCCGGGGGAGCAGCTGGTAAATGGAACCATTAATTATTTATGAAAAGTGTTTAATAATCGCAAGAAACGTTTTGGTTAAAGCGTTAATGTACCTGTAACGTTTGCAGAAGATGCCTGCGTAATAGGCGCAGGAGGAGCTGCTGGAGGTGCTGGAGCGGCTGGAGCTGCCGGAGCTGCTGGAGGTGTAGGAGCAGACGATATTGCTGGTGGTGGTGGAGCTAGAAGCAAAAGCAAAGATGGTGGAAAAGAAATAGAAAAGTAGTTGGATGAAATTAAAAAGTGGAGAGCTTTAAACGTTAATTACCTTGTGGTATATTTGCTATTGGTGGCGCAGCGGGTGGAGCAGCTGGAGCAGCTGGAACTGTTGGAATAGATTGAGTTGGAGGAGGAACCGGAGCAGCGGGAATTGAAGTTGGAGCCGGAGCTCTTGGAATCGGTGGAGCTTGCGGAACTACGGCAGGCGGTGGCGTATTACCTCCATTTTCCCAATGTTGTGAGCTGCCACTCGATGAGATTGTTCCATAAACCGGTTCTCTACCTCTGGAATCTGAGCGTTTATGATGCTGGTATTCCTCCCTATTGTCTTTCAATCTTGAAGTATGGTCTGTATAATCCCCTAATTCAGGACCGTTCTGGATTTGTTTATTCAATTGATCGAGGGCAGCAAGCATGGCATGGGCGAACGCTTCGGCATCTTCTTTACTGGCAAAATTCAAACCGTAAACTTGCCTTGTGTCTCTCCACTGATGGAAAGTAGGAGTTGCTTGATTATATTTCAAACCACGTAGGATATTGCAGTTAATAACGACGTCGTGACCTTGACACTTTCTCCCAACAACCCGAAAAGATCCATAGGTAGCGTGTTGAAAAATTTGTACTTTAGAAATTTGATTCGCTCCTCCTCCAGCCGGCATCCATTTTTTTGTAGCATCATCATAAATCATAACGCTGGCTTTAGCCGAAACAATAGCATGTTCTGCGTGAGTGCTGTACATATAACAATAAATGTATAGAAAAACCGATGGCGAGAAAAGCAGAGACGCCCCAAGTTCAATAGGTCAACTAATAAAGGCAATCGATTGGGCGTACAGTAACGCGTACTTTTCACATTTTATGGAAAAAAAAATGACTAATGTTAAAAAAAATACAAATTTTACAGAACATTGCTGTACGGTTATATATTTATATTTAAATATATATACAGTATAGACAGTATACATATACTGTATATACACTATGCATATCCTATATATAATGTTACACTTAACAGCACACACCTATCTGATGATTACCCCTTTTCATTTTTTATATTTGGTATTCTATTAAAATACACGTACACAGGTAAACAACTATTTAGTACTTACAAAGCAAACTCTCGTTTAAAAGGAAAATTCATTGCATAGTCTAAATAGTTTTGTTTTTCTCTTTTATGGTCAACACTCGAGTATTCGTTGGCGAAATTCACCTAAAACATTGCCTTTTATGCCATATACGTGCGTGATAATTTTCGATTTTTATCGTAATCATACGCTTCATAGGACGTTCGATTAAATGAGAGTAAATAGATGAAATTGCTATGGGAGAGATACAGATAGAGAGAGCAATGAAAGAGCATGAAAACATCAATAAATTTGAAGAGATCGCAGAATCCGTCCCTCATCCTCTCCAAGATTATCAATTTACATGCAGCCGCTGGAGATACTATTATACAGAATATTTATATTAAATAATTTAAGCGGAAATATCTAAAGATTCGCGATTAACAAAGGCTTAAGGATCATAGTTATTTTGTTTTTGTTCATAATTATTTAAAGCTTACGCTGTTTGTTGATTGTTGTACCATTGTACATCGACAATCGGTTGGCACGAAACGTTGGAAGCTACCCAAGACTGTTCGAAGAGAATGTTCATACTCCTCTCTCGACTCACAAATCGGAAATGAAGAACGGGAAATTTATACAACGGCCAACTTTCCGATGAGCCATAGCTTGGAATGAGTCACTTACAAGCTTGGCATAATCATTCGACCCTTTTTACGTTTGTGTTAATACCTTCGATATGAAGTATACAGGTGATAGAAATCGATTGATAACTAGCGAAACGGAAAAAGCATCTTGGCCTAAAGCCGGTAGGTTAATTCGCGTTTACCAAGTACAAATTGATAACAGATAGTAATCGCTGCCTTGTTTAATTAATGTCGTATATACGTAATATGAAGAGACAAAATAACTAACATAATCTATTAAACAGACTAATTAAGAATAGAAATAAATCGAACCTCATTGCTCTTTGCTTAGTAATACTTGTTTTTCAGAGTTGTCAAATTTTGTGAACTTTTAAAATACTTCTTAATGATACGGAGATTCCTTATATCACCATTAATTGATGCTCGATCGACAGTTATAATTGAAACAAACGAGAAACAAATGATTTTTTGTATACATATTTGTAAAACTAAACAACCGCCATGTTGAATTACGACGGGTTTCTGGGATAGGTTTGCTATTAGCGCGCCATCTGTCGAAGGCGCCCCAAACAATATCCGGTCTCAAAGGCGTAGGCTTGAATGAAATGTATTTATTAATTTAACAAAGGAAGCTAACTCTTATAAAAGCCATGAGCATGAAACTGCCATAAGAATTCCGCAATCTACGAGAATAATTTTTTTGCCCTATAGCATGTTGTATTTCCGGTTACTCTTAATAAATATTAGAAAGAAATGAGGGGAGAATGATTGTTTTCAAATAGTCCTTAAAAATTATTGCTGATTAAGGTTCTGCTGATTTGTCTTTGTTAGTTGATAAATTAGACAATTCTTTCTGTTTAGTCTTTTCAATGTCTCTTTTAAATTTTCTATGCTCACTGTCTCCAAATAACAATTCTCTGTTAAAAAAAGAAAAAGGAAGAGGCAAGGAAAATAGAAGAAATATGTCAGCAAAGATATTCTAGAATGCTAAGAAATCTAGTGAATAAGTAACAGTACCCATAGTCTACTTCTCCATCGCCATCAGCATCCAACCTATCTAATAGTTTGCAAATATCTGCTTCGCTCATTTCAATTCCAGATGCTTTAATTCCTAAACGAAATTCTTCATGACTAACACTCCAACTACAATCTTTGTCAAATTGCCTAAATAAATCAACAAGACGAAATTTCTTCTTTTTTGCAAAATTTTGTAATTTAGTCATTGGATCTCTATTAATAAATTAACATTTGTTAATTGTTAATGGGATTAATTATGTTATTGTGCTTATTACTTATGATAGGCTTGTTCTAAATCAATTTCAAAATCTCCAGATATACGTTGGGCTACAACACCTCCGTGATTAATAAAAATTTCTCTCTTTTGCTGTAATATTTTATAATTTTCTGAAAATTCTTCTGAAACAAGAACTCCCGGAAGTTCAATCTATAAAAAGAAGAACGTTATGTGTGTAAGGCTACTTTTTTTTAACTTTAAGTATGTTTGTACAGTATGGGGATGAATTGAGGGCAAAAAATAACTATAGGTAGGCTGACTATTAGGTATAATTTGGTTCGTACCTTTTCTAAATGTGAATTTTCATTTGTCTGCAGGGATTTTAGTAACAAATCACAAACTTCCGCCGTTATTGGATTAAATCCAAGAGATAAGAATTCCAAAATTTCATTGGATTGTAAAGATTTTATAATTGCTTTTGCACCGTCGTCTGGTATTCTATTGTTACTTAATTCCAAATACGATAATGACTGATTATGTTTAAGAGCATGTCCCATAGCTTCAGCACCTTCTAAACCGAATCCATTCATTTCTAATAAAAGAGATTTTAGACCATAGTTTTCCTGTCAGAGAAGTATTTTTTTTTAATAAGAATAATCCTGTTGTATATTTAAATAAAATAACAATTACCATAACGCCTTGAGCTATCCAAACAGCTCCTTGAGTACGAAAGTGATTCCAGCTAAGATCTAGTTCCCTCAAAGTTTCATTCTCTGAGAGTATCTCTTTAAAATATTTGGCCGACTTTACAGACAATTCATTATGACGTAAAAGTAATTTTCTAATCACGCTATTATTCTGTATATATATAAGGCATGGAAAAGAGATTGAATAAGAATTACGGGTTAAACTGCATAAAGAAGGGCCTAACCATTAATAAGCTATGGAATAATTCGCCTTCAGTGTCCTTTAAATTGTTACCAGAAAGATCCAGACTTGTTATTATACTATTATTCGATAACATCGTGCATACAGCTTCAGCTCCCTCTCTTCCAATCTGATTTTCTCTTAAAATCTGGCAAATACGTAAGATTTTTGATCTTTTAGCACCCTTTTACCCTTTAGTCGAATGGACAGATAAGTTTCGTCAATTTACTCACTAATTCTGTAACGTAGTTATTATCCCTCAACGCCTTGCAAAGGTAAAAACAACCGACACCTTCTATTTGATTGCCTTCAAGATCGATCTTTTCAACTTCTGTGTTAAGTTGAAGGGGCTTTGATATAGCTTTTGCACCATTTGGCCCGAGACCATGGTTCCTCATGATGAATTCTTTATCATGAACATGTTTAACGAAATATGACACCGGAATGACACCTAGCTTATTGCATTGTTGAATATAGTCTGCTATGCCAGTTGGATCAAATTGGATTTTGTCGTTTAAGAATTCTAAAATGAATTAGCAGACGAATAAAATAGAACTAAATGAGAGATATACATAAAGATAATAATTAACCATTATCATCGTATTCTAAATCCGTATCGTAGCTTTCGGGATCGTCTGTTGTAGATTTTAAATAATCGTGAGAGTCACCTACTAAATCTCCCAGACGTTGTCTCCTTAAGGTTTCATCGTCCTCATTCGTGTCCTCTACTTCTGTAATCAATATCTTTTCGCTACCGGGACGACTACGCTCCATATGAGCGGATGATAAAGAACCGCCTCTGGATTGCCTACTACCAATACTCGATAGTTCTAAATTACTATTCATTTCAAAACTTTTGCAGTTTTGAGAGAAGGTAACCTGTTGAAAGTAATATAAGACAACCGTTCCCTTTTCTAGTCTATATGACATTAAGTGTACACAAAAAAGTTTTGTCAATTATTCAAAATTAAATAGAAAATATGTAGCCAGTCTTTCTACATTAAACAAAAGCGTTTTATTGAACGTTATTAATACTTACGGACTGAGTTTTAGACGTTTCCGATATCATATTTGAAAGAAATAGTTAAAAAGTAATGTTCTCGCTAAAACATTTCTACTTTTAGTTAGCAATAACACTTGAATGGCGTATAGATTTAATCCAGTAACAATACAACTTGGTAATCTCAACAACTTAACATTATTTGCCCGTAAAAATCTCTAGCTGCCGCTATATCAAAGCCTCTATAAAAAAAAAACCAATAGTCTTCATATTTTTTATCAAAACTCATTAAATAGTATTTCATTAACCTTCTCTTTATATTGTATTTCTTTCGTACGTAGGTGCAAGCCTTGTCGCTACGAGTTTCTCTGCCTACACCGCTTACTCTCTCCCCCACCACACACCCTTCTGTCCCCAAGTCTTCGCCCCTGTCCCTCTCTTTCATTCATACACGCGTTGTTGATACAATTGTTTTTTAAATACAGCTATTTGTAATTTTATACTTCTTGACTACAGTAGATACTTATGACAATTTAGTTTAACATCTTTAAATAGAATAAATATTAGTATTTCAACTATTAATCTACCTATTTAATAATTTTTATTTGTAAATATCAAATTAAATAATTTATTCTAGGCCTAGAAATAATAATTTAAGTAATTGATAAATGTTAATAATGAGTTTGCCAATATTTTGGATTGCTATTGACACTAAATGACCTTGTTTGGCATTATCTTTCATTTAGTATTTATTTATTTATTCTTATATTTTCTCTTTCGTTTCATTTGTTTCTTTCTACTAAAAAGTTATTCTTTATCAATATTTACTTTATTCTTTATACTATTATTGTAGAGTAGGTAGTTTCATTTCTGTATGTATTAGTGTATATCTCCTCCACCCTTTCTCTCTCTCTCTCTCTCTCTCTCTCTTACTCTATGATTTTATTTGTTTATTATTATGTTATCATTTTTTTATGATTTATCAGTTAAGCAAATATAAAAAAAATACTTGACTAGGCCTAGAAATATATGATTAATTATTTATTGAATTGATGAAGTAGACTACCTTGTCTTTGAAAATTTTATTATCTATATATATTGTTATTAGTTGTTTTTTTTTAATACCTCGTATCTTTTTATCTATAAAATCATTTAAGTGTTCATTCTTAGACGCCTTTTTTTATTGTTGTGTATATACATACAAATATTGTCTGATAATCTTTTTCAATGTTGGCAAGCATTTGAATAAGTAGGCCAAAACTGCATTCTTTAAATGTAACTTGTTGACATATATATTGTCTATCTTATGTCCGGACTCGTATTATTATTCATCTGGATAGTCACAGCTATCGAAATCGTAGAGATTAATCGATAAATATGAATAGTACATGTCGATTTTATTATTCTCTTACATCTAGAGCATTTTGCGCTGTCGACCCTTTTTCATATATACAACTAAGCCCTTGCTGATCAAAAATGAGATTGATTGCCCCCCTGAATTTGTTAGGGACATCAAAAGATAATAGATCATTTATCCTCTTTCCTTTCCTCAGTAGAAATTTTATTTTTCATGATTATCATAAGTGCATACTTTAAACATCCTGTATCCATCATTTACAGCTGACAATTTAGGAAAAGGAAATCCTTAGAACATTATATTGTACAATTCTATTCCATTGATTATAGCTTTTCTCTCCTTATTTCCAAATGATCCAATATATAAAAGCAAACGTTTTGGGATACATCTATTCTTGATAGATTTACGATGTTTCTAACTTTAATGTTCTCTTTTCGATCTTGATTATTCACTTTTTCTTACAATCTGAGCACTACTTATGACACTGCTCAGGTCGTAACGAACTCGAGCAAAAAGCTGATTGGTTCATTCCTTTGTTCGTCCTGTTTTGGAGTGATTTTAACTGCTTCCAGTTTTCCCTCTATAATAACAAAAAAAAATTACCGTTTTTTAACTTTCAAAATTTTGTTAAAAATACTACTATTTATCTACAATTTAGCTAAGTATTAAAGTAAAAATAACGTATAAAATATTATATTTCCTTGGTTAGTCTCAACTATATTTAAACTGCATATTTCATAGTTAATTTCTTATTTGCAAAAACTGTATTTAATTGACGCCATTTTTTTCCCTTTTAATTCAGATAAAATCTGTAAATACTTGGAAAGAGGCCTGCTTCAACAGCTTATTTATCTTCAATGTTTTCTATAAGGTTTTTAAGATTGTTTTTTATTAAAAGAAAAAAAAAGTGTAGAGATTATAGTTTTCACAATAAATTTTATGAAATCATAATTTTTATCAGTACTCAAACTGGCGCCATCTATCATGTAATCAAAATATTCATACAGTATATCACATAAAAATCTGTTGTCTCTTATTTATAGAATTTCTAACAGCTAATTATTCTATTTTTAGAGTTTATATTATTATAAGTCATTTCTTCAACAGAAACAGAAACAGAAACAAAGAATTTTCGAGTGAAATATTGCGCAACGTTATTACAATTTCATTTATGCGTTCACTTAAGAAACATATTTCGAAATGTCTTGTAAAATACAAAGTGAAAAAGGAAAATTAAGTTATTTATGTGACAAATTTATACTGCAAGGTGAATGTTCGAAAGAGAATTGCGAAGATTTGCATCTAGAACATCGTTTAACATACCATTGGATCTTTGATAGCTTTGACTATTTATTATCGAAAGAACAGCAAATAAGTATTGAACAGCATTTTTGTAATGTCAATTGTGAGAGCACTGGTGTACTATTCTTAAATAACACTTTAAAATATGAAGTTAATTTTTCAAAGATGGCTGCTATGATACAAAAACTTAATCCGGATGAGAGTGTTTCAACAGTAGTCGATTGTGTTCAAAGAATATCGACAAGAAGTTATGTAAATAACAAACAGGCTTTAACAGCTACGCAATGGAGATGGTATATCAAAATTAATTTAAGAGGATCATGGGAATGGTGTCCTTTCGAAACTACTAGCAATATTCCTTGTCAATATATTTTGGAAATAAAATACACTTCTGGTCAAGATATATATCGTTTTAAAGCAAATCTCATATCGAAATTACATTCTTCAAATAAAAAAAATATATTCCTCCTAAATTTAAAGACTGATGAAATTCTTAACTTGACAAATCATGATAAAACTTCGATAAGAAGACGCCCATTATTTATCGATAGTAGCATGTTAATTGAAGAGAAAAGCTATCCTTCTCCAAATGAGCCGGTGGAATTTAAGCTAAGTCAATTACATGCAGTTCCAAAATATTGGTCACCATTGGATAACTCTACAAACTATGAATTGATACCGTTAAATCCAAATGACAACGAATTTCAATGGGTTAACATGAGGTATAAAGTAGCTGGCGTATCGTTAAAAATCCTGGATGTTTGCCGTATTCAAAATACAAAATTATGGCAATCTTTTGTAACGAAGAAAAATTTAATGAAGAATAAGAAGGAATTAATTCTTTTCCATGGAACACAAAGTGAATTTTCCGTTCAAGCGATTTTATCACAAAACATCGATCCAAGATTAAACGCTCGTAAAGTGCATGGTAGTGGAAGCTACTTTACACCCTTCCCAGTCGTTGCCCACAACTATACAAAAGGCAACATTAGATGGGTTTTCATTTGCAGAGTTTGCGCCGGAGACTACACAAAAGGGAGTGAAAAATACGTCAGACCTCCACCTAAAAATCCTTTAGAACCTCAGGAAGAATTGTATGACTCTGTAGTTGATAACGTAAATAAACCTAAAATTTTTGTTATTTTCGATCATAATCAATGCTATCCGGAATATTTACTATCATATACTTGTAAATAGGTCTCTGTTTGCTAATTTATGTTCATCTCTAAAAGAAAAGGAAAATTTTCCATCGTCATTGTTACTCTAACAACATCATTTAGGGCAAAATACATAGAGAAGTAACATTCTGTTCATTTCTTTCTTTTCATTTTTTTTTAAATTTGAATAATTTTAATGTAAATATTAAAATAGATTGCTACTGAATCTAAATTCATTACTTTTTGTATTGTTTGTAAACAAAATTTAACTATAAAGCTATGTACAGTTATGTCTTATTTGTTATTTTTGTTTTATCTACTTGTAAAGGCATCACTAAAGTCAGGTTAATATGGGAGAAAACAAGTTACACTTTGAAATTAGATCTAGAGGAATCTGGTCGGATTTTAGGCCGATCTTACAGTCTTATTTATAATAATACGGTATATGTTGACAAACAGTTTGACGCAAAAATGTGGTATTCAGGATCACTAGATGGCGTTAAAGGTAGTTCTGTAAGGGGGAGTTTATCGGATAATGGTGATTTTATAGGTTGGATTAGAACTATTGATACTTCGATGTTTATTAGCTATGATAAGAAGGGTAAATTAAAGGGAGCGGTAGTCAGAAGAGGCCAAAACGAAACACACGAAAGAAAGAAGAGAAAATGGAAGAAAGAAACAAATCAGAAAAATATATGTTCCATACACGTTTTGGTTACTCGAACTGCGTTAGAATCATTAAACAGAGAATGGAGAGACATGAGACGCGTTTGGCCTACTTCAAGGGCAGCTACGGTGTCCTTAATAGCCTCTACACTAACTTACGCATCAGAACAATTGGATGACGTAATTAACCTTCGCCTGGAACGAGTTATCTTTGCTGATGAATCTTATTGTTCCAATAAACACATGAAACATTCTAGAATATGTCAAAAACATGCAAATAGATCATCAACTGTTGAACTTCTAAAGGAGCTAGCATGTAATGGACCAGGCTTATTAGCGACAGCTTGCTTAGGTCTTATAATCGATTTTTCGAAAGTTAATAAGGTTAAGGATAGAGTTTTAGCGGACGGTTTTGTGGGAGCGTGGGCTGGAAGACAAAATAGGGGAAAGAACACTTGTTCATTTAATACGATTTATGTAAATCTAAAGAAGAGTGATAGGACTATTATAGAATTTGAGAAATTACATATTTTGACAACTCATCTCGTAGGGAGAGCTTTGGGAATGAGCAATAGCGCATTACTTAAAAAAAACATAGTTAAATTTGAGGAGAAGGTTAAAAAAGATATTTACAATGGGATTTCTAAATTCGGTGAATGGAATTTTCATGGAGTTAGAGGAGAAATGAAATCATTTTGTGGAAATGGTATGGTAGGGGTTTTATCCTATTACTATGTATTTAAAAAAAAACAGAGAATTAGTTTATTATTAACAATTATTGAGTTGTTATCTTATACTCTTCACCTAAATTATGCAACATTTAGCCCTTAATCGATTATGTACATATCGTTCTTCCCTTTAGGCAAGGTTGAAGAGGGCGAACAATGCGATTCCGAAGGCGCGTGCTGCTCGAAATCATGTCGCTTAAAACCTTTCGCATCTTGCGATGATACGCTAAGTTGCTGTTTGGAAGATTGTACTCTTGCACCACGTTTCCATCCCTGTAGGTCGACGATTACACTAAATTGCTCTGTAAATTTAATTTGTAGCGGAAATTCGCCCGAATGTGTTCGAACAATATCAAAAGTAGCCTCATCAACATGGTGCGGGAGATCGGATAGATGCTCTTTAGGACAGTGTTATTCGGCTTGCAAAGGTTTAGAAGATAGTCTAGTAGAGATCGGATTTGAAAGAAACCTAGTAAAGTCAAGGGAATGTAGAAAAAAGGATAATGCTTGTTATCCGAGGTGTAAAATGGCCTTTTCTAGGAAGTGTCTAGATTTAGGTTCAATTAAATTGGGAAAGTTTAAGAAGCATTTGAAGAGGATAATTACAACATTTTATAACTTGACGCTCCTTAATCAAAAGTTTGTAAAAGCCTTGAAGAGTAGGACTGCTTTTCAATATGGCACGGAATGCGGACAGAAAAAATACTGTCATCCGGAAAAAGGTTGCATTACTTTATCTTCTTTCACAGCGAAGATGAAGTCTTTTCATGCGGCAGATGAAAACCCAAAAAACGGAAATGTACAGAATATTGGAAAGAGATTTGGCCTTGTGTTAGTCTTTGTAGCAATTATTATTTTCGTTTTGACACTAACAGCCGCTTTCCGATCGAAAGAAAGATGGCGTCTTTTCAAAAGACAAAGACATAAGAAAACGGAAGAAGAAATTAAGAGTTTATTAGAAAGTTCACAGGATATTGATGATAAAGAGACTACAGCAAATATAACACCTGATTGTATGGCAAAAAATAATTCCCGCGCACAACAGAAATACTACAATGTAGGAGATAAAGACAAATTATTCTGTAACATCCGTAACAGTAGCGTCACGTAGAACGCTTTTGTGTTCTTCTTCCCTAAAGATTTACATAATGTTTTCTTCCCCTATTGTTCTTCTAAGTTGTGTTTTAGTGTTTTAGTCATTTTTATATATGGCACACATTTTACGTTATAAAGACTATTAATTAGTATTCATCTCTTCTCTTTGTCCGTTTTAATTATTCGTATTAAAAAGGAGGTGGGATAAAGGGAAACGCCCAAATCGGAATAACAGAAAGTAGCGGGGATAAAGTTAAAAATAAAAAGAGAGAAGATTGTCAAAGGGACCAGAGTGATGTAATAATAATAATTTATATTAATATATAAAAACGCTAAAATGTTAAGGTTTATGACTGAATAGCCTTATCGTATAATGTTTATTTGAAGGAGAGAAAACTGGTTTTACTATTTAAAAAGCTGATAGAGTTAAATTGAAAAAGCATTCAATTATTTATAAGATTTATACAACAAAATGAAAAAACCATTTTTTATTGCTCATTATTCTATTATTGATAAAAATTAGAAATATATTATCTTCGGAACCTTGGACGTAATTAATATGGTATACATTATAAACCATTTATATATCTATATAAATTCAATATATGAATTTGTTTCTCCTCCATAATCTTTTATTTCTTTTTAGGGACTTTCACTCTTTCCTTATCTTCATCTTCATAAATTATTGATGTGGAATCTATAAAGGATAATTTTTTTTTATTAAAAAAAAAAAGTATACTTTTAATTTCTTAATTGTTAATTTAGCAATTTTGAATTAACTCGATTCTTCTTTGACCAAACCGACCTAGTACCGAATATAAATACTTGAAAAGGAAGTAAATTGGAGAGTATCTACCGATTTGATCAATTTAGGCAGCTAATAGACGACGGCGTTTCGTCGATTAGCACCATCTGCATTATACATCTTCCGCTAGTTAATTAAAATGACGTTTATTTGATAGCCTTCACATGTAAACTTTTATCTATTAGGAAGTAGACCAACAATAAAACATATTTTTAATAGGGGAGCTATTATTGGATGAGAAGAAAGAGAATAGATGAAAACATCTTATTACGCCATCTATCGTTTTTCAGGTAGTGGAATGTAATGCCGTTCTGAGCATATAATGCGATTTGTCCGATTTCCGGGATGTAATTGAAAGTTGATATCTCCTTTATACTATTTGTTTTGAGTGACGGGTAAATGGATAGTAGTAGGGTGAGAAATTGTAAACATAACGAAACAGCCGTAATAATTACAAGGTGAGATGGGCAAAGAAACGATTTAAGGAAAAAAACCATACGGAATAAAATTCATTAGTTAGCGTTAACGAGTAAACTCGGTCAAAGCGACGCAAACAATAAAAGGCGGTGAATCTCATTAGGGCGTAATATAATCAAGCTATTCACACGCTGCGGACGTGCTGGCGAGAAAAAAGGGAAAAGAGGTGAGGGAAAACTTGAAAAGATAAAAGCTACAACGAAGACGTTCGAACCTTTCCGGGGCTGCAAGTGGCCGCATTAAGCATTCGCTCAGTCGCAGCCTTCGAATGCCTTCAAAGCTCGTAGCAGACTAATGATGAGTCGAACACTTTTTTCTTTCATATAACTGCCTTGTCAGTCTGATCGATGAGCGGTCAAGAAAAGGCGGATGGGAGGGGAATAGAGTCTCTTAGTTTATTTACATATCCATATAGAAAGCAGTATGAAACACTTAGCATATACTTATATAACGTATATAAATACTACAATGATTTATTCGCAACATATTTACAAATAAAGATATATTTAGTAGTCTAAAGGCGTACGTATGACGCCAGCGTCGCGTACTTTATGATGAATTTTTAAAATCACTTGTTGAGGCCACCGCCCTGGACCGAAATGAGGGTAGAATACAAGGGACGTGAATAAACAAAGCGCTTAGCGACAGGCACTTTAAGGCAAAAATGACAAACGTGATCGGTTGAAATGTTGTAGCGGCGTCGAGGTGCGTGCAGGACGGCGAATGATTACGACATTCAGTGCGCCATGCACGCCAAGTCAATCATTATAGACGGATTGTTGGCGTATTGTTCTACATTATTGTTTGCCGCTTGTAGAAACCCTCGAACGGTACTCGAAACGTTTTCGGAGTTTGATTAAAAATTGTAGAAAAAAGCAGAAAAAATTAAATGGAGAGAGAGAGAAAGAAAAGAAAGAAGGAAAACACAAGAGAATGACTGAACGAACAAATGAATGAATGAATGAATGAACAGATTAAAAAAAACTGCTATAAAGATATTTAACATTCCTTATTGTTCACTTTTAATTATTTCATGCGATTTTATTACGTAATGGTCTTAATCTGTTGAGTTGTTTTACCTTTTTGTATTAATTTATTATTAAAGACGTTTCTAATTATAAAACATGAATCTATATAAGACATTTCGTTATGTTGTATATATTGTAAAACCAGGGTATATACGTAAGATGAGGATAATCTGGTAGGCGTGAGCTGATGTATAGATCGGCAATTTTTCACTCTGTTGCAGTTTCTCGCCTTTCACTCGCTTCGCGCATAATCACATTGGCTCGGTCAGGTGACGCCCGGCCGGATTACGAAGCGTCAGACCGTCTTTGCGTGCCTGCACCTGCTCGAGGATGTGGCCTGCTGTGTAGACTGCGACTATCTCAAAGGCGTCGCCGACACATTGCGCTGATTCAATCTCTACAGCTGTCTAGTTCGACTCGCACGTACGACGCGCCGCTCCCCGGTGAACGGTCGTCTATAGAAACGATTTGAGGCAATTACGCCTCCTAACCGACAGCTTCCTTCAATAGCCGTTTGTTATACGGTTAAGGAAGTGCGAGTTTGACTGGCGCATAATAATTGAGGTTGGCCGAGTTCTCCCCGCTGCGTTAGCGTGTGTTCGGCACGTGTTCACTCTGTAAGGGGGTTTGATACGGTGTGATTTCGTTGACGGACAGCCTTTTGAAAGTCCTTGGGTGAAAGAAAGAAAGAAAAAGTAAGATTGAAAGAGAAAGAGAAAAACGTTAAAGGGAAACAGTCCGATTAAAAAAAAGGGGGAAATACCATTACTTTCCTCACCCTTAAACCCGATTATTATTTCCGGAATTTTTAGCTCTAACCCCAAAGGATTTAGGAAAAGGAATCTCTGTCCGTCTTATATCTCTTTTATTTACCTACTAGATACCGTGCAAAATATATAACGAAACCTTGTTTGTACGAACTAAGCAAATAGCGGGTCGCCGCAGCAGTCACTCGACAAACAAGCAGCAAACAACACGGAAAACGCATGCGTGCGCCGATCGACAGGAAACCAACCAATCAGAAAAGAGAGTGGGTGGAGCTTCACATCGAGTTAGGAGTCGTGTGAAAAGCTGTTGAATACCGCCTTATGACCTGCTGCCGAGTCAAAACCGTAATGTTCGCAGTTTGTGCAACATCTTATCTTACCGCTCATTAAGTTGTGTCTTTTATCAAGCGTTTTAAGGTGTTTTAAGTGGAAATTATTCACTAAAGACACCAATTTACTATCTATTATTGGCAAAGGTAAGGCGACAGAAATTGCTACGTCAAAAGCAAATGTTGTCAACGAAATTACCTTCTTGCAGCTTGTGTCAACTGCAGACGTCAAACTGTTCTGGAGACCGTTCGAATCGCGATTTGCGAACAAATCGACGGCGGCGACTATGGAAGAATCTGTCGTTCAACCGATAAATGGCTCACTTCCTCCAAAAATGGAAAACGTTGTTTTTGCTTCGACAACGCCTAGTCATCTTTCAGGTTAGTTAAGTTTTATTTAAAAAAATATTGATATAGCCCTATATAAAGACGCGGATTATTATTCGGAACACCATATAAGAGTAAAATTTTTCAATAATCTGCAAGCTTTTGTGAGGAGAGAGTAGGAAAATTATTGACTATTGGCTCTATGCCTGCAGCTTTAAAGTCGATATGTAGAAATTGGCGTTTCTAATTTTTGCCTTCTTCCTAATTGCTTGTGCCATTAGAGCGCGCCCTTTATTAAACTTCACGCATGCCTACGCAGAACTGTCCAATTAGACTCTTTATTATTCTACTTACGCTAATCTCTGCGTTATTATCCTCCCAACAACGGTTCGATTGATGTTCGATAAACGAACACGAAAACACATAACACGAATATTTATAATCTATTTTTTATATGAATAATTATACATTAAATATCTTAAAATTAACTCAATACGTCTATTATGATAATGATAATGGCGATTGTAAATATATACAAAGTATAAGTTCATCCATGTGTTTTTTAGCTATATTTATATAAACAATATGCCGATTTTATAGGTAATAAAAATTGCACATGCCTTATGAATATTTATGTAAATATACGTGTAGATGTATACATATATAAGTATTATAATAAAAAACACACATATAGACGTAAAATCATCAGGTGGCTTGACATTTCGACGCTCGCATGCATAAAATCCATCAAAAATGGGCTTTGCGAGCTTTTCATATTTAATTCTACCCTTATCCGGCGCATCTCTTAATTAACTCATAGTCGTATATTTATATAAATTTCAATCTATTCGTCTTTCTCTTTATTCATATTTTTTAATGTATGAAGCGGCATTTTTCCCTTCATATAAAATATATATATGATGTGTATATACTATGCTTTTAATATATATTCATATCTATATATAGCCACGGATATATCGTAATACACATATATATATTATTTTGCGGTTGTTACTAAACCGTTAATCCCCTGTTCTTTATACTCTTAAAAGGTATCATATAAAAAAGGATGAGTCAACCTAGTATTTCAAAAAAAAGAAAAATGTTAAAACAAAATGTACTCGACACCTAAATATACATTTTGTATGTATACCTTCATGTATGACAAACAAACATTTCAGTCGGCAGCGATCCGAAACGATATTTGAATATTCATAGTTGTTTCATTCTTTTTCGATTCTTCTACTTTTTAGCTTTTCTCTCTCTCTCTCTCTCTCTCTATTTGTTTATCTCTTTATATCTCTTTCCTTTCTCTGTTTTCTTATTTTATCTATCTTTTTCTTTTTCTTTCTATCACTTTCTCTTCATTTTTTCTCTTCCCCTCTTTCCCCTCTCTCTTCCTCTTTACCTAATTAAATTTTTAACGTTTAGAATGTCGGTTGTTAACAGGGAGCGAGGGTTAAGGGTAGTGTAAAAAATATCGAGAGGGTTACGTAAATAGATTATAAGTAATTTTCGATGGAAGATGGTAACGTTCTGTCCTCCATTAAAAAGATGGAACATTTGGCGATATAATGAGAAAAGTTATTAATTGCACTTTGAAAATTTTTTGCTTACACGCTTAATTGAACAGAGTATATACGTTTAGAGCAGAAATTTTCTTATGTGGACAAACTATTTTATCCTTTCTTTTAATAAATTCTTTATTTAGAAATAGAGGAGGGGGGCCTAAATACGTGACGTGATATTTGGAAGAGGCGCGCTTATCTCTCAATCATTCATTGATCATGGCATAAGCGAATTAACGCGTGACACGTGCATTGACTGCAATAATCCATTTGTAGTTTGCAGAGTCAGAGCGCTAATGTCATTGGTGGGCCACTCGTTCCAATTAGGGCTCATCGATCGTTCGAATATAATCAGAGAAGACTCAACTCTAGACCGTTACAATTTATATACATATTTATATACCTTTAGGCTGTCCATTCGGATGATACGGATAAATGAAATAGATTCCAATTTATATAGTACCTATATAAGTAGTATATCCACTGTTTTTCATAGAGCACATACAGTAGTTTATTTCAATAGGTGGATAGCTTAGTGAATAACTGTGAGAAAGTAGAATAAAATAGATTGAAGAGTTAAGAAAAGGAAGAGCAGTCTAAAGGAAATAGGGAGTCTGGTGATGAGCGGACCGCCCGCCAATTGCCACAAATCACATAATAACAGGCAGCGGAATTAGAGGGCGACCGGCAGAGGCCATTAGACGGCCGACTTCCGCTTTTTTGCAGTACTGCGCCGCTGTTGCAGTACCAGCTACCGCTGTTGAGAAGCTTTGAGTGGGCGTAGGACAGAAGCGCAGTTTTCTTTCTCCTCACCCGTTTCCTCTTCTTTTTTCTCTTTTATTTTCTCCGTATGACATATATTTGTAGTCATTCTTTTCTAATCCTCTCCCTGTCTACCCCTTGTCTACTCCCCCCTTTACCCCCTCCCACCGTCTTTCTCTAGCCCTCTTTTTTTTCTTTAAAAATTTGCGTACACACGTCGTCCGGCTAAAGATGAAAGGCGCGCTTGAAAGCCGGCGTAGATCTCAATGTCAACTTTCTACGGTCGTAGGCGAATGCTAAGAAGGGCAAATATCATTGCAGGCTCGCCGTCGCCTTCCGACTTGTCGTCGGTCGATGAAAGTTTGGAGGATCCACCCAGTTCGATGGTACAGGTTTCCGCCTGCTCAATGCTACCTAACTCCTCGTCATCATCGTCGTCAAGTTTAATTGGTCCGATTCCTAAGAGGTCGTCGCCCGGTCTTGTGTGCCTTGTCTGTGGAGATACATCGTCAGGCAAGCACTACGGAATTTTGGCCTGCAACGGCTGTAGCGGCTTCTTCAAAAGAAGTGTTCGTCGGAAGCTTATCTACAGGTATATTAATACTCTGTACTATATTTAATATAGAGTAAGCCTTATGTTATTCAAAGGCGGCCGCCAAGTATCATATATACGTTTAGATGTATACGCCTCGAAGCTA